ATTCAATTTAATTGAAAATCTATGTTCGCACATAGTTTATGGCTAAACAAAAGCAGCTTACATTAATTTCACACACCACAAAACCAGATGGCAAGGTCAGGACTTAAGGACAGTCGAGGTGCGATAAGAAGGACTTAAGAAAAAACTATATCCTGCTTACTAAGTGTATATTTTCTTCTAATACTAATTAACTAATAAATATATTAGGAACTATAACGTTTTTTAAGAATAACTTCCTAGATAATATATATTCTTCTTGTTTCAAGGCATGTACAATCGGAGTTTGACTGTAAAATAATGGAAAAGGGTTCGAGTTCGGTTTCCGGTGCGTTCGCCCACAGACAAAGTGGACAGAAAACTTGTTGAGAGTGAATCGGAAAACGCACACACTCACACACACACACCCAGGTAGATACTCGAAAAGCCACTCAGTCAGGTGTTAAAACTAATTTACGACAATTTGACCAACAAACAACAAAAGTTGCCCCCAGGCAGAAGGCATTTCTCTTCCTCTCCTCGGCTCCTGAGTGCTCCGCATATTTCACACGGTGCATGTGAAAAGGGTACGCAGAAGAGCATCCTGCTCATTTTCCATTTCCCCCTTACGTCACCCACAACCACCCACAGCTGACCACAAAAGCATCGAAATCGAACAGAAGGCATGTCCGACAAGCACTCAAGGACAACTCAAGCCGGTGACCAACCACAACTTGATCCCAATTTGGCTGTGAATTTTGCTCACCGCTGACAATTTCCTTCTTGCTCCTTGATCCTGGCCTCCTTTGGCCACAAATAGACTTCAATTCGTTTTTGCACACTCTACAGATTTTTCTAACAAAATGAAAAAATGGAGCAGAGGGGCAGGATGAGCAGGAGAAGGGATTTTCCTAAAGGAAATTAATCCAGCACACACACCGAATTACAGACCAGAAAAATGCAATTCATTCAGCTCTGTTTGATTCCGCCGAGTCATCCTTGGATAATTAGCATGTAATTAAAGCGAATACGCCTCTCGGGTGGCAAAAAACAAAAAAAAAAACCAAAATGCCAAAGGATCAGGAGGAGGAGCTTGCTGCTGATGCTAATGATGATGAAGTAACAGTCAGCTAATGCAAATAAATCGGTGAAACAATCATCAGTGTGTAGGGTAAAGTAACTTAAACTTGGTTCAGTTTTTAATTGGGATAAATTTAGGCTTTAAATTTCTAAATTAAATACAGGTACTTAAAAGATATATCTAATATTTCTGGAAAATGTAGAAAAATCAAACATTGTTGAAGATAATTAATTCACAGAACCCAAAAACTAACTTCAGGTCTCTTTAAAAAACTCCCATAAAACTCTAGCGAAATTAAATTCTTTAACGACTAATAGCGAACGAGGGGCTAAAACTCCAATCTCCACCTCAATGATTAACTAACGAAATCTATCCAGACCCCCTTCCCAAGTGGGACTCCGTGTCCATTCATTTACTCGGCCTAATGAATTACCAAAACCCAATTCAAACAGGGCACAAAAAAGTAGAGAGAAAAAGAAACCTGAAGGAAATAAGCCGGGAAAAGGAGTGCGACGACGATGGTGAAGGCAGCAAAGGTAAATGGAAAGTCATTATGATACACATTTGGCCTAATGAGATTTTTTTATGGTGATGCCAAAAGGTGAGAGGCGGGGTGTTATGGCCACACGCAAACGTCTTCCTAATTATTCACAATGAACAAATATGGAGGAAGGAGGGGGCCAAGCAGGTGTGCGGCAAAAAGAGAGCGTTTTGACACCTTTATGGCTCAATAAATTGGACCAAAAAGCAAGCAACTCTCACTCACTCACCGGGAACACACGCCAGTTCATAGATATCGCCTCTGATTACGTTTAAGATGTCGAGGCCACTCGAAGCTCAGTGTTCCCCTTACTACACAACAGGAAAACTATGCGTTAAAGCTCCAAAAATAATAGAAACTACGCGTTATTAAAAATAAATCATAATATATAATATAACTAAATAAATTTTGGGTAGTTTTCCTTATAGAAGTGACTAAAAATTGTTGAAATTAATAACTTAAGATCCCTCAGTTGATATAGATAAACCCACATTTTCTTAAGTATTATTATTATAAATTTATTTAAATGAAAATACAACTTATTTTCCTATTTACCATACATTTTCCTTTGAAATACAATAGAAACACGACTCCCTTTTCGCTCTGTGCAGTCAAACCCTAACTAGTGGGCACGTAAAGTTTACAGTTACTCAGGCATTGGACTCGTTAGTGAACGGATAGTGTGTAGTATATGGTATATATAGGAGAAGCAACGACCAGACGGAGCACCTCCTGCCCCCCAAAAAGCGAAGCTAGTGGCGTGCCTTTGCCAACGGTGGAGGATCCCTCTTTAGGGGCCCGCCAATGTCGACATCGTCTGCTTATGAATAATGTTTTCATTTTCAGCCCTAGCCTTTCCTTCGTCCTCGGCACGCAATTGCATGTTAAGTGCATATGATTCCCATTCCTCTCAGCCCACTCGACGGCCCTCAGTCAGCCAGGACTAATATGCGAAAATTATGGGTTGTAATGTAAGAGGCACTTTTGCTTCATTTTTTTTTTTAATGACATCCAACAAACGCGTCAAGGATGGGGAATATGTGGATGTGGCTGTGCCTGAGTATGAGGATGTGGATACGTTTGGCTGTGGATCCAAGTGATTAGCACCAGCACCGACCGGGGCCCAAGGCAAACATTAGAAACTGTCGTCGTTTATATTAATTAATGGCGTCTGCACTTGAGTTGCAAAGAGTAAAACTTTCGAGATGTCTTTGGCAATTTTACACTGATGGCTCTAAGCGGTGGAGTTTCCACCGAAAAAGAAATGGGAGCAGACATTTTGAATGGGTTACCATAATGTCATTGGCAAACAATAAATATCATTTTCTATTAATTAAGTCATCTATCTTAAGTCTAGGAACATTCCGAAATATCAACTATATTAAAATACTTTCTAAATTTCATTTCGAACAACAACTTTCTGAATGAAAACTAAAGCTCTAAAGTCCCTGACTTATGTTATATATCATTTGCTTATGATTCCAGAACCATATATCACAATGCTTAATCAACTCGGGTATCCGTTCGCGCATTTCGAATGGAAAGTGCATTTGCCGATGGCAGGCAGAGCCCCAAAGTATGCAACAGTGTCGGTGCTTTTGGATTTTTCATACAATCAGAAACCATTTTGAACGCATGCATCCGCTTCCGTTTTTGCATGGCGGTTTGCATTTTTGAGTTGAAAGCCTGAGCGAGTGAGCAGGATTTTACGTTTTTTTTTGCAATTTGATTTGTCGCCTAAATTCACAACATTTTTGACACCAGCCGTTCAGCAATCGTGAAATTCCGCTGCTGTTTGTTGCTTTTGTTGCACCGCACATACTTTTATTTTTGTGGCATTTGACAGGATGACAAATGCAAAACTATAAAAATTCATTCGCATTTCGACCATGACAAATTTAAATGAACGCGAGAAATATGCAGAGTATGTGTAGTGGCAGTATCGGGTGCATTTTAAAGCGAAACTTGCATTTTCAATGGGATATATAGAGTGTAACCTGGCCTCGTTGACAACAAAACTCTCTAGACATTCGACGGCATCAACCGCAGATGACGACCTGAGGGCCTGCCACTCCCACACTCGCCCTCTTCCGCTGTTTAATATGCACTTGAGAACGCCAAAGTTTCAGTTTCAGTTTCAACTGCAACTGCACTCGGAAAAAAACTAGGCAAATACATACATTATTATGGCACCAAAGATCTCTTCCTGTTTATCTGGATGTGTTTCATTGGCCACGTCATATATTTTAGGTCGAAGCGTAATCACTATCACTCACTTTCGATGTTAACACTAGGTACCCCTAGGACAGACTGAGGTCGCGGCGATCGGAGCACCTCTATTTATACTTCGCGATCATGATACAAAATAAAGAGAGAGAGAGGGAAAGACCTACCTCTGTAGCTGCAACAGAGAGAGAGATAGAGCGTAAGCGCCGTCTCTAGAGCTGCAACTGTGGGAGGCAGATATACCAAATAATATATATAAAAACTTCTATGCAAAGGAACATATAATTTTTATAGTATAGTATGGCACTAGATATAAATTTAAAGACTGGAAAGTCAAATAAACTATTTATACAAGTTATTTGCCCATTGTAAGGCCAATTATAACCCGTTTTAAGCTCGAATTTAATAGTTTCGATTAAACCCTAATCCTCAGTGCAGTTTTCGCCGTTTACAGGCTCATCGTACCTAGACCTCGTTCCTTCCTTGGCACACGCCTTCGAGCCTTTCACTAAAAATAAGTGTTGAGCAAACATTTTGCGGGCATGGAAGTTCGCTGTCGGTGCCACATCAGCATCATCTCCAGCATCTTTGTCCTCTCGAAACAGGGCCATGTTTGTCAAGCCATGAGCTACGGAATCTCACTGCAAACAAGAATGCAGTGCAAGATGTTTAACACTTTGCACTCTTAGACCCGGTTGGCCAGTGGGTAGGTCAGGGGATTGGATGATATATAGTGGTGGAATGGGTAATAACGTCTGAGAAAATATAGATAAGATCTATTTAGTTTTGTGCGTTCTAGACGGTTATATATTGTGACCATAAGTCAATTCTTCTATTGGAAATAGGTTAGACAAGGTCATCAGTATCCCCTAACCACAGTTTTAATTAAATTTCAAAGTAAATAATAGGGCACACCAATTCTTTTATGGGAATACAGGCATGCCTTTGTAGAACAGTACCCTTTTTAATGCAAAATGAATTACCTAAGCTCTACGTATATTAGGAAAGAGGACGAGGACTAGGCACTCAGTAAATTAACTAATTACAGATCAAATGATTTCGACGTAGTCAACACTTTTCCCAAGAGATATCTCATCCAGACATCAGCACCATAAAGCCAGCGGTTCGTAGCAAGAAAAGTACTACTTTCCGTGTGACTTCGTTCAGTGCTTCACGATGGTTGACCTGGTCAAATGGTGCTTGTACATCTCCTACTTTTACGGTCGTTTTAGCGGCATTCTGAACTTTGAGATTGATTTGAAAACGGGCCGGACGCGGGTCACCAAACGGGCCACGATTTATGCGGCCGGTGCCCAAGTATTTATGTTCACTTTGCTGGTCTTTCACTTACTGAAAATGCGTTGGATGTCCAAAGTTTGGACAAAGGCCAATTCGCTGCACGAGTACGTGTTCATGATTATGTCCGTATTTCGAATCGTGTGCGTCCTGCTGGCCCTGGTCAGTCGCTGGCTAGGACGTCGTCATTTTGTGCGACTATTTAACTCGTTCCGTCGACTGTTTCTCAGTAATCCGGAGGCGATTCAATGTTGCCGTCGCGGTATTATCTTCAAATGTTTCTGCGCCACGGTAACGGAAATGGTGCAGCTCATTATGGCCCTGATAATGATGAGAAGGCAACTAACTTTCATTGTTGCCCTGGGAATTTGGGCACTGGTAACACTGACGGCCATCATAAATATTATTATTACCCAATTCTACATTGCTCTGGCCAACATTAGAGGTAGTTATATACTTCTCAATAGGAAACTGTATGATATTATGGTCGAAGTTCAGGCCCTGGTGCCCAGGCGAAGGGGCGTCTTTGTCACCAAGTGTTGCTCTCTGGCCGATCGCCTGGACGAGATCGCCATGGCCCAGTCAGAGCTGCAGGACTTGTCGGATCGATTGTCAAAGACATTCGAGATGCAGGCGCTATGCATGGTCCTTTCATTTTACATGAGCTCTGTCGGAACCTTTTACATGATGTTCAGCGCCGCCAAATATACCAAATACATGGAAGAATGGCCAGATATCGTATTGTTTCTGGGAACAACCTACTTTGTGTTTTACTATATGGATAATTGGATAAGCACATACAATACTTTTCATTTGCTGGATGCGCATGAGGAAATGGTGAAGATTCTGGACCAGCGAACTCTATTCCCACCGGGCTTGGATAATCGATTGGAAGCAACCGTAAGTAACCTCACCTTGGAATTTATACTGCCTATTATTTGCATTATGTTTTTGTAGTACAACCTTAAAATGTTTACTTATATTCCAGTTCGAACGATTTGTGTTGAATCTGGCCCGTAATCCATTTCGGATTTGTTTCTTTGGCGTCTTTGAAACCAATCGGTTTACCAGCTTTGCCATGGGAAACTCTCTGTTAACTAACTCCATATTTCTTATTCAATATGATTTGCAAAATTATTGAAAATATAAATAAATGCATTATCCAAATCATTCTTAAGCACACCTCATTAATATACTCCAACTGCAGACCCTAATATTCTGTGTGGAGAGTAATAACGTCGTCATGTTTCTAGATAAGATAGCTGCTAGCTAAATAAATTAGCTGATTTGTGATTAAGGAATATCATCATCAAAGCCCAACTAATCAAGCGCAGATATCAGGACATTAGAGTTAACGGTTTGGGACATTCATACGGTTTGGTGGCACATCGGTTTAGTATTCCGTCATGTCAAGCCATGACCTGGTCAAATGGTGCCTGCTGATCTCGTATTTCTACGGTCGCTTCACGGGCGTAATAAACTTTGAGGTTGATATAAAGACGGGTCGAACGCGGGTCACCAGAAGAGCTACGATATGTGCGGCCTTTTCTCAGTTCGTCATGTTCGGCATACTGGCCTCCCACTTGCTAAATACCCAGGAATTAACCAGTGTTAGGTTTATTGTCAACTCTACCCACGAGTACGTGTTCCTGATAATTGCAATCTTTCGCTTGATTTGTGTGTTCCTCGCAATGGTCAGTCGCTGGTGTCAACGTCGACACTTCGTCCGGCTTTTTAAGTCGTTCCGCCGCCTCTATCTGTCCAATCCGGACATCGTAAGGTATTGCCGCCGAGGTCTATTGAGCAAGTTCATCTGCGCCACAATGTCGGAGACAATGCAGGTTGTTGCGGTTCTTGTAATGATGCGAAATCAGCTAAGCATAAGATCGGGCCTCGCTGTCTGGGCCCTCCTGAGCATAACGGCCATTATTAATGTCATAATAACACAGTATTTCATTGCGATAGCCCACATAAGAGGTAGCTACATAATCCTGAACCAGGAACTACGATCAGTGATGGCCGAGACCCGATCCTTGATGCCCGATCGAAGCGGGGTTTATGTAACCAGATGCTGCTGCCTGGCCGATCGCCTGGAGGGGATCTCTCGAGCCCAATCCGACTTGCAGGCTCTCGCCGAGCGACTGTCAAGGACCTACCAACTGCAGATCCTTTGCTTGACCTTTACATACTATCTGAACCTGGTGGGAAATGCATACATGGTGTACAGCTTAATGAAGTACAAAAGTGTAACCGATGAATGGCCCAAAGCTGTTTTATTTCTCGGCTCAGTTTACTTGGTATTTTACTACATTGATTGCTGGCTTAATTCCTTCAATGTTTTCTATCTCCTGGATGCCCACAATGAGATGGCTAAGCTGCTGGGACTGAGAACTCTGCTACAACCCGGCTTGGACCGCAGACTGGAGGCAGTTGTGAGTATTTAATCCTATAAGTTCTATCTGAATTTACCATTATTTACTTTCAGTTTGACAACTTTTTGCTAAACCTAGCAAGAAATCCATTTAGAATTCGGTGTTTTGGTCTATTTGAAATAAATCGCATGAATTCAGTGGTGGTTGGTAACTCTCTCTTAACGCACTCCTTGCTTTTAATCCAATATGATGTACAACATTTTAAGCTCTAAAAAAATTAATAAATATTCTTCTATTAAACTTTGTCATCCTATAATAACTATTGTTTTGTATTATTCATAATAATTGCAACCAAACCCATTTGAGCACACAATTAATAACCATCCCCATTAGCTTCTCCCTATAGGCTCAATATTGATTAAATTTAACTGAAAACTAACAATGACTTTGCACTTCAAAGTCAGTAGTTCGCCATGGCTGACCCAGTGGAGTTGATTCTACGGTTCGCCTATTGGTATGGTCGATTTTTGGGAGTTATTAACTTTGAGGTTGATTGGAGAACAGGAAAGGCTAGAATCACGCGACGAGCCACGATCTTTGCGGCCTTTAACAATGGAATTCTCATCAGTTTGCTGTATGTGCAAAAGATTAACGATGGTTCCCTTAGATTGGCCTGGAGTAATGCCCATTACCTTCATGAGTACTTCTTCCTGGTGATCACGGAGGTGCGACACTGGGCGGTGCTGCTCACCCTTTTTAGTAGGTGGCGTAACCGCTTACGTATCCTCAGGTTATGGAATCAATTGGCTCGAATGGTTTCTGAGAGACCCGAGGTCATGGGTCTGTATCGTCGCGGGATAGTCTTGAAATTTATAATTGTTTTTGTGTCAGACACCACGCACACCGTTTTGGACTTTAGTGCTCAGCGAAAGAAACTCACACTGGGCCTGGCCGTGAACCTCTTTGTGTGGTTCACTTTTACCACCATATTCAACGTCATTGTGGCCCAGTACTTTTTTGCTGCACTTCTAATCTATGGACACTACATTCTGCTGCATGGAGACATCAAGAAACTAATTAAGGAAGCCCATAGAGTTAGCTGCATTCGCAATCGTCGTGGCGGAGTTTTTGCAACGAAATGCTGCACATTGGCCGACGAACTGGAGATTTTAGCCCAAAGACAAGCAAAATTGCAGGGAATTCTTTTTGATATGGGGAAAATCTTTCAGATCCAATCCCTTAGCGTGAGCTTTGTCTATTACCTGTCCACAATGGGCACCATATACTATACCTTCTGTTCTGTGTTGTACAACAACACTGGCCTGGGATCTTCCTACTTGGGTTTCCTGCTCATTGCCATCTCTACGGTTTTCTTCTATGCGGATAACTTCCTCACCCTCAATATAGGATTTCTCACAAAAGATGAGCTACATGGAATACACAGCGATTTGACAGAACGTACGTTGTTCTGTCAGGTTTTGGACGAAAGATTAGAAGCAGCGGTAAGTGGAGCTCTGTTTTGTTAAATATTTATTTTAATATAGGTTTTCTTTTTATTCTCAACAGTTTGACAGTTTTCAGCTACAGTTGGCCCAATTTCCGAGGGAATTCTATATTCTAGGACTTTTTAAAGTGGAGAGGGGTACTTTTATGGCCATGATCAACTCGGTTATAACCCATTCCATTGTACTGGTTCAATGGGAATTGCAACACAAGAAGTATAATAATTTAATTCAATAAATAAATACATATAGATAACCGAATCACAATCAAAAATCAACTAGGATCTATATTAACTGCTGCCAAGGCAGTCTCATAAAATAAACACAATAGAAGGACGACTGAGAGGACACTCTATAATGGCATTTTTCTGAGAAACTTTGGACCATCAATAAAAACACAACCAAGTGCCAAGGGCATGTGTAATTGGGGCTGTAGAAAATGGCCGATAATGGCCGTTTCATTCACTTCCAATGGGATGGAGAGACAGGAATGTCCCTCAGTTGGTAATGGAAATTGCCTGTATGCCGGGATTCCTTTTGTACCACCAATTGCCAGGCATTTATAAACTTGGTCCTGGCTGCTACCAGCGAATTCCAGCGACAGTGACAAATCCAGCGACAGCATCAATACTTTGCCGCAACTCGAGCAATATAAACGAGCTTCCATTCAATTTGCCATCACCCTCTGCTCGCTTAGCATAAGTCGCAATTTAATCCCACAGCCGACAGCCAACAACAGGCCACGACGACATTGCATTGCCAGGCAGAAGGAGAGAATGTCCTCCTCAGACAGGCAAACGAACGAACGAACGGATGAAACCGGAGACATTTTAGCATAATGCATTGGCACCAGCACACTGCTCCTCCTCGTCGTTATCCGGGGACACAGAATCCGGCACTTGGCCCGGAATGACTGGAGGTTAACAATGCAACATTTTTAACATCAATGGGGTTTATCAATGGTGAATGAATCAAATTGCCATATTGCTTGAATATAAGTTACTGAGAAGGTTGTTTCGAATATAAATATCTATATAACAAGATGACAACTTTAAATAACAATTGTTTGTTTATCCCTAAGAAGACTCAAGGATTTCCAGTTTTTCTAAATATCTATCACAGTAAAAGAACCAGGAAAACCGTGAACCTCAGTTATATCTAGGCTTCGTTCGATTCATTCTCTTTCCCGTGATCCCCTTGCTGGCCATATACTCTAGTATAGCGCGCTTTGTCGTCACCTTCAGCTTACTGATGTCGAACTCCACTTCCTTGTTGCTATAGGCGGCGCCCTCCATGCGATGGACCATGTGTATCACATGGAGTAGCACCTCCCCGTCCAACTGCAGGATCTTGGCGTGCAAATCAAAGTCTTCCTCGGTGGTGAAGGGATTGCCTTGCTTCTGAGTGCTACAGGATCCCGAAGCTCTCCGGTCCATTGGTTCGGCATCCTCTTCATTTGAAGAGCTAGACGACTCATCTTCTTCGGAGGAGGAGGATGAATCTACAGAATCAGAAGAGGGACTCGAAGGAGTCTCATCTACCGCCTCAGATTTATGAGCGTACGTCTGATGAACCTCAGCGTACAAGCGCTCGAATATCGCCTGCAGCTTCTGGGCCATCTCGTAGCACAAATGGTCCTTAGTCGTGTACATATACGTATTGTAGAATATCAGCCGCACGTCCTTGGCGAACTCCGTGCAAGTCCGATAGACACCATTGTTGAGGCGTTGTCTCACCGTGGATAAGTCCATAGGTTCCTTCACAATGGCATGGTAATCGTACAGGGTCAAAAGCTCGGCATCCAATGGATCGTAGAAAACCCACGCCACCTTTTTGTGAACACTGGAGCACAGGGTCTTCACGATGGCTTTGCAGGCACGGATTTCCGCTGAAGCTGGTTTCTCAGCCATTTTCCAGTAAGAAACTTAATTTCAATGGGAAAACTTGGTAAATATTTTGTTGACGTTTTTCGATCAGGGTTGCTTTTTGTGGCAGAGTTGCCACATCATGGCGGTTAAAGTGGGAATATCACTTTACGTTTAATTATATGTAAGCTCACTTTCTTATATTACAATATTTAACTTTATATCCTTGATATGATATGTAAATTTTCTTACGATTTAAGATTCAAGTTAAAGCTACCATCTACCAAACATTCCAGTGCAGTGTAATAAGATAAACACTTTCGCTGGGCGCGCCCAGAAATCCGCATCCGGCCACAGCTAACACAATTCCCGTCCTGCCATAAGTTACAAGATATGCTAAGGAGCCAGGGAGCAAAACGGCCTCAAAAATTCATAGGATATCCCACAGGCAGCACGAAAAAAAAAATCAAAATTAAATTGAATTTTCAAACGCCACGCACATAAATCCAAATGCCAGGCCAAGGAAAACGAAAAAAATGCAGCCGAAAAAGGAACAAAATTTGTAGTTTACTTTTGCCACAGGCAGCACAGCAGCGAAATGTTGCTCAAATATATCATAAATATTTGATTTTCTTACATTTCGCCAAGGTTATGCTGCGATTGCTGCGGCTCCGTCTGGCTTTTGGGTGGAAAAATTGATAAGTTTTCAATGATTACGCCCGGTGATTGATATAATTTGCGCGCAATTTCGCAGCGATTGGCAAATGTCGTCGTCTACGTGACGATGTCATAGCGATTTTGTGAGAGATGAAGTTAACAAAAGTAAATGGAATCTGAAAATCAAAGTTGGAAAAACGACTTTCGGAAACCTTGCAATGTTTATAAAGGGTGGAAGAACCTATTTTAATCACTTGATTAAAGATTTCTTTGGCTAGTAAAATACAAATTGGATTGAATTCCGTTTCCCAAATGTATTAAAAATGTTGGCCTTGCATTGCATCATGTGCTTAGGGCTTCAGCTCGAGAAACTGTAAACATTTATCTACAGATGTTTGTTTAAGAAAATAGGGAATATTAAAATAAAACTGGAAACAAGTGGATTTCCATGAAATATTTTTAATTCTATATAAAAGCAATTGTATCATCTGATCTAGGTAAAGTTGCAAAGTAAACTGCATCAAATATAAATTGTGGATCTGTTTCATTCCCCTGTTTCAAATTTGCTTAAAATTATTGTTAATGACCCTAAGTTGCATCGCGTGCTTAGGGCTTCGATAGATTTTCAAAGTATCGAAAGTTTTCTTCGTGGCTAGCTGTCATTTCCGTAATCTTACTTTCCTGTTTTCAACATCAAACAAGACGTTCTGGTTAGGATATTTAACTTCCCATAGAATTCTCCAACTCTGTGAAGAAGGATGACCAAGGGAACCACCAGCTTTGGCAAGCGCCACAACAAGACACACACTTTGTGTCGCCGCTGCGGCTCCTCATCGTTCCACATCCAGAAGTCCCGGTGCTCCAAGTGTGGCTATCCCAATGCCAAGACCCGCTCCTTCAACTGGTCCACAAAGGCCAAGAGACGCCGTACCCAGGGAACCGGAAGGATGCGCTATCTGAAGAATCTGCAACGTCGTTTCCGCAATGGCTTGCGTGAGGGAGGACCAGCGGCCTCAAAGAAGAAATAAGATAAAGCAGGGACTCCGATGAGAGGGATCTAATAAAAACACCCGAAATGGATCCCCAACAACATATGCAGGTCGAGTGTTTTAATTAGGGTTTGAGGTTAGATCATAATCCGTCATAGGACAAGCGCCATTATTCCATAAGTCCGCTGTAAATACCCTTAACGTACTTAATAATTTATGTTTTTTGGGGTATTTTGCATGTTTCGTGTGTGAAATGCATTTTATGAATTTTTTATGGGTTTCAATGTACACACACACACCTGCTAGTGTATGTGCTTAGAGAGAAACATAAAAGGCAAACAGACAAGGTGAGAAACAACACCTTTTTATATGTATTTCCACGCCCATAAAGCTTGTGGCGAAAATCTGCTCACGCCTCAGGACCGTATTTCATCCCGACCTGGCCTAATCCGTCGCCGTGTGGATTTCGGTCCAAGACCACCGAGAGAGAGGGAAAGAGAGAATCTTGCCATGATATATTCCCCGGGATTGCCGCTGCAAAAAGTTTTTCTTTCCTTGATTTATGTACAACTCCTGGCACTGCGTCGAAACTTAAAGAATTCAAGGCGACTGGCTACGCCCACTCATTAATTTTTTGGCCTGGACTACCGCATTGCCGGTCGATTGATGGCTTTTGGTATGTATATGGGACTCATTCTTATGCATTGACTGAATTTTTAAAAAAATAATGATGTCTGCCGACGCGACGCTGAGAAAGGGCCGCATTATTAATGCGTCAGAAGTGTAATGCGGAGCTCAAGTGCAGCTGAATTGACGTTGGGACAGGACAAGGCGAAGGAAGTAAATTCCAAGAGAGATGCGGAATGGCAGTCCCTAGGGAACCTTACTATCATATTTTACATAAATTTAAGCATCAGAAGGTCAGAGATTAGAGCTTCGTAACTACTCCTTAAATGTTGTTTAAAATATTAAATATTATAAACAAATTTAAAGTAATTAAAAGGTGTCTCTTCTCTCCTCTATTAATCATTTACTTCACATTTAAAACAAGGAAGCTTCCTCTTACTCGACTAACGAGTTTTCCCCCAGACAAAGACCAGGACTCGACGTCATCTCGATAAAGATGAGCAGTGGCTCAATCACTTTCCCTGTCGCTCTGTTTTCCATTTTCATTTCCATTTCATTTCTCTTGCAGAAGCCTCTCCCTCCTTATATCCCCTGATAAGGCATCGCGGAAGCTCTAATTGCATCTGATTGCACTGACAGTTTTTCCTACCAACTGACAGCTGCAGCAGCAGAAGGAGCAGGAGCAGGCGAAGGAGTTATGGTCTGAGTACGGAATACCCGTACATCCGTTCCATATCCGTTGACTTTCAATTCGCGTTATTTCTTTCTTCTTGGCTGCCAGAGCCGGTTGCTCCTTCAGTTCACTGCTCATCCGGAGACAATCGTGAGCGAAATTTAAATGCTTGCTGACTTTGCAGCTCACTGAATGACAACAACTACAAATACGACAAAATAAGAAAAATCAGTAAGAAAAATACAAACGCAGCAAAAAAAAATGGCAATTGAAAATGGGTTCAATCAACAAAATGACATTTCTCACAAACAAATTGCTGAATACGACTCGTAGTCTTGCAAAAGTTTAATTATTACAGAAGGTTTAATAGGATGTCTTAAATGTCTTAATGATACCATAAAGAAATAAGTAGAAGAATTCAAAAATTAAGAGTTAAACTATAGATAGTAATGATATTAATTTTTTACTATTTACTTTATATAAAATATTACATTTGTAATGTATATTATCGGGGTATCAATATTACCATAGATTTGACCACAACTATAAAGTCTACTTTAAACATTTGAAACTCAACCCACTCTCCTAACCATTTATAGACTAATTTTCACTTTCCAGTTGAAAGGATAATTCTCATAAATTCAGAGCGAGGTAGACACATGTAGAAGCCTTCTATACGGATGACCCCATCATCAGGATTAGGCAAAACCACATTTTGTGGTATTTTTCGTGTTCTGCGGTTGGATTTTTTGATGCTGTTGCATGTTGTCTGCCGACGTGGCATCATAAATTCCAATTCCCCGGCCCACACTGCTGTACAGATGAATAAATACAGATACAAATGGAAACCTGAAACCGGGAGCCAGGAACCAGGAACCAGGAATCCTGGACCTCGGTGGTCTTTAGAGATATCCCCGAAAAACACTAATTAAAATGCATTAAAGTGCAAATAGAGAGGTTCTACAATTGACAGGCCATACTGTCGATACTCTTAATCCATTTCAATCTCAGCTGGATAAATATTCAATGTCCGAACTTAGAACTTGGCAAAATTCAAATGTTTTGGCGCATAAAAAATGCATAAATTATGCAAACCATTTAAGAGGCAAACAAGAAGGAAAAATCGAAAAAGCCTCAACATTTTTGCTGCCGTTGGTCAGGGCTTTTGAAAAATTGATGCCGAAATATCCGACAACTGACCCAACCTCACCCGCTCTCTCACTCTATCTACCTCACACTGTGTGTCTAAATGGACATTTGGGCCAGAAGACGAGAGGAGGTCCTTAGTGAAGTCAAGGCAAGACTCTTAACATGGCTTTTAAAACTGCCGGTTACTGGGGAGCATAAAATATTCATGCGTTTTATATATGTATGTGTGAGTGAGTGCGGGTTGGGTAAGTTGCCAGGCCTATGTCACAATAAAAGTCAAGAAGCTTTTGCGTGCCGTAATTAATGTAAATCCCCCATTTACTTTTTCCTACACACCATACATACCCCGTTAACGGATGCGAAGTGCACTGGGGTTGTGACCAACTTTCCAAGAGTTTTGTGACATGTTATAATTTGCATATTGGCTAAACTATGCGACGTTTTATTTTATGTAATTGATTTATATCTTTTTGCCAGGAACTGAAAATGTATTATTAAATCTGAGAACAAGTTACGAGCTCAGGACATGGAGCTACTTTCCTTAAAGGGAGTATAATTTGTAGTAGATTGGGAGAGATCCCTAAATCGGCTTTCTTATAGTATACATTAATTTGTAGAGCCTACCGATTTAAGTTAAATTTTCTTCTTTCTATGTGTAACATATGAGGGATAGTTTTTCCAACCCTTTTAAGTGATCTTCAAGTACCCTCCTGGGAGTTTTATAATCTCCGAGCTAATACCATCGATGATATATAGTATATAAGTTTCATTTTATAACAATTCTTGAGGTATTCCTCTCGTCTGAACCATTTTCAAAGCCATCAATTGGCCTTTTCGACCTGCCCCACTGACAGCTGCAGGCTATCGCCGCCAGAGGGCGCCTGTCAACCTTCCTCTTCCCATATATCGAATATGTATATGCAGCCATGTAATTGATTTTCTGTTTACGCACTGCCCCGAAAAGCGGGACAAGAGCAGATGGAAGCAAAGGCAGCAAAGTTGCCGGGCCTGATGCTTCCGGTTACTACTTCTTGTTATTATATTTCATTTGCCGTCAACTTTGCTGTGCTGCCTGATTTGTACACATCGTGAATAAAGCAACAACACAACCGTCAAGTCAGGCTATAGTAGTTATAAAAGTCAGGGTTAGAATATTTAATATCCAGTAAGTAGTTTAGAGTAATTCAGTAGGGTAAAAGGGAGAAAATTCTTGAATTCCTAAGGGTTTTCTTTGATAATTGAAAAGAGAAAATCTCTAAAATAATTATAGCATAAAAATCCCACTTCATAAACAAAAATATTGGATCAAAGAGTATAGATATTGTTTCATTTTTCGATTTTAAAAGAGAGATTTTTAAAGCCACTTACCCCCTAGATCCTTCATTATCAAGAGCCATTAATCCAAGTCTAACAAATCCTTCCCACGTTGGGCTCTCCACTGGGTATTCCCCCAAAGTTTCCATTGCAACTTTTGCGATATTTGTGCTGGGCGGATGACAAGAGCGGGATACTACTGGATGGCTGGCAGGCAGGATGTCCGGCGGGGTGCAGGGCACATGCCAACACTTGTTTTCTGTTAAGTGATTTAGGCAAAACTTTTGCACCACCCTCATCCTCCTCGTCTCCTTTCCAGCTTTTTGCCCCTGTCAGAGGAGCGTGTGCCATTCGTGTTTGGCATTTTGGGGGCTTAGACACTGCCGCTGCTTTTCCTTTTGGTGCAGGATCCATTCCTCTGCTGCCTGCCGCTGCGGTTCCGCTTTGGTTCGGTAATATTCTAAAACATCGGAAATGTTTTACAAAACTTTCGCGCAAGTAACAATAACAACAACAACAACAACAAGAAAAACAAGAACAACATCACCAACAAATTGAACGAAAACAGTTTAAATGCTTGCCACATAATCGCCGTCAAGTGAAATTCATTTTCTTGACAAATAACATGAACTTCAAAGGGGATCTCCGGCTCCACAAATCCCCGCTTTGAGTTGCTCAAAGGAAATTGAAAATGTTAAAGGTGTTTTTCTGTGTGTGTGTGTCGGGAAACTAGAAAAACTGTCAAACTGGTTTAGCGACTGCCAAAGATTGATGATGATTGCACATCTCAGGTTCCGGGCGGGCTCCTGGATTGATCATAGTCCTTGAGTGGTGGGGTTTCTAGAAGAAAACGATTGTATGTTTTAAATTTAGTAATAATCATATTTTAACTTAATACACAAAGTGAAGTCTAATGTTACTTTAAGAGAGTAAACAATTAGCAAAAGAGATGCGAGTTAGGACTTTCATTGGAATAGAAATACATTTGATATCAATGTCTAATAAATACCTCCTCATCAAACATTCAACTCTCATGTGTAAAATAAAAATGCCAACCCAAGAGCAATATGAATACCTGTCTAACATAATAATCGTAATTACCTGCGCATAGTTATCCCGTTATTTTCCCCACATAATATTCGATTTTGGCAACCCCTATCTCTTCGACTAAGAAGGAGCCTGACAAGTTTACTTACTTTGCCGCTATCTGACAGCATTAAAACTGTCTCCTCGAATTCTGACTTGCCAGAAGAATTTCTCGCCGGCTAAAGTTTGTCTGGGTAACCATATTACATGGATAACACCCACAAAACACTGCCAACATCACCAGCAGCAGTAGCAGGAGCACGCAAGAAATGTTTCGTGACAAAGAATTCCAAGAGCACGGTAGAAAAAATAAAATAAAACAGAGGGAAAAACCCAAAAACGGAAGGAAAATTGAGCTAGAGATGAAGAAAAACGTTTGCGGGACGACATAGTAAAGCGTGGCAAGTAGAGAAACTTTGAAGTTTTATTAAAAATACACACCGCAACATTCCTCAAGAACTTTTCGCACACGAAAACGTGAGATAATTTACTAGAAGCGAACTGGACGAGGCTGCTCCGGCTCCTTCCATTCCCTAGTCCTTCTTGCAGGTGGAAAAGCGTAGCCAAAAACCGGCAGCGAAGTGTCAAGTAGTTTGGATAAACTTTTGTGACAGCTCAATTTGGAAGGGAAAATGTATGTAAGCCAGCTGCTCTGCTCTAGAGAATATTAGAATATTAATAGCGAGCTTTGCAAGGGGACAACTAATGAGCGGAAGTCCTCTCTCAGTCCCTCCCGAGGGAAACTTAGGGGATAGTTAAGTCTAAAGAAGGCCTTGATGTGGGTTCTCATACGAGCAAGTCGGGGTAAAAGCGTAGGATTTAAGTCAAAAAGTTTTGCAAACAAATCGGGAAATGAGAGGAGGACTCTGTCTGGCCAAGACACGGGGTCAAGAGTCACTCAGCCAAAAAGCAAACTAACTAAAATAATATATTTCAAGATGAATCGAAAAAGATATTCATTGAACTCTAAAGAACTTTAAATAATAAATTAAATATGGAACACATAATACTTACAAAGCGCTTATATTGTGCCCAAGTTCCACGATTCCTTGGAGTTCATCTGATGCACTTGAATCCAGGTTAGAAATATTTCCTAAAAAAGAAACAGATATATATATATTGTCTGACAATATGAATTAAAATAACTACCAAAACTAGAAAGTCCCCACTAATTATTCCCAATAGAGTTTGATCTCTGTTAAACATGTCTCCATATCCTTTCATCTACAAGGAACACATTGATTGAGAAGGAGCACATGAAACCGTGTGGAAACACCTCCAAAGGTAAAGACAAACACAGCTGCTGCTGATGCTGTTGCACAATGGCACAAAGATCCAGAGACATGCACTTAACTAACCAGTTCCGCCCATCCTTCCGATTGCCATCGCTCCAGTTTGGCCGGTGGAAAATTAACAACATGTTGTGGTTATGGAAATTAGCTAAGGAGGATGACACACACTAGATGTGATGGTGGTGGTGGTGTGCGTGCCAAGATTTATGCCCCAGAAACTAGAGCATATCCTGCGTCCCCGAAACACGGAGACACACATGGTCCGTGTGTTTGTGTGTGTTGACAGGCAGCAAAGCAAGGACGATGTGGAAACGGAGAACAAACCCTCCGGCTAATTGGTATATTTATTGCTACTTAAATGCCCCAAAACTTGTTGCTACTTTTCACCTCGTATTTCAAGCACTTTTCCAGCCGGCAACGCCCCCAAAATGTCGGCCACCGAGCACCAGGCACAGTGGAGGAGGCGGAGGAGGAGGAGGATCACCGCCAGCCAATGAACGATCGTCGGGGCTATAATTAGGCGCCTCAGCAGAGGCAGCCATATGTTCTCGATTTCTAGATCTCTCACACAGCCAGGCAGGCAGGCAGCCACTCTTTCGATTTTTTTGAGGCTAATTTCAGTGGGCACACGACTTTGGCACGGTTTAGTATCGTCGCGACAATTATCGTAATTAACTCGTTTATGTGTTGTGTGCTAATCCAATTACCAAGTTCGCACAACACGGCAGGCAGGATGCCCCCAATCGTGGCACTCGAGCAGGTCACAAATTAATTCAATCAATCCTCTTGGCAAATCTAAGGAATTTAGTTTGAAAATTTAGTTACAAAACAGATAAATAAATCAGTTGAATTGAAAGTGTTTCGGAATTTACCTTAAATACGTTTCGATTTCCTCGCCATGTTGAATTACCAGCAGCAATTGCATTCACTGCCCGTCGGCAATCCGGGAAACTTTTATTACGGTCCGACGGCAACACATTCGCTTGCGGTCTCCGGTGAGGCTTATCCGGGACACACTCTGGAGCCGGAGGATAAGCTGAACACCCGGGAGGGAGGTCCTTCAAGTGCTCGAGATCTGGACAAAATGCATAGGTTCTCCGTGAACAATCTCATCGATCTGAAGCATGATGGCTATGGCAAGGGGAAACTCGCCATGGAACTCAACAACAATTATGGTGAGTAGCTGAAAATAATTGATTAAAATATACATTAATAAGACAATTTAAATTTATATAGAATAAAGGTGTAAATAGCTAGTTAAGATTACAGTTACAGATTAATAAACAAGGTGATTTTCGGCTTAAAGTGAGTTAATTGTATGAAGAAAATTACAATTAAAGTAAAACACATGAATTTCTTGATTACCTCCCTTTAAATTAGCTATATTCTGAGTTTAATTTGACTCACTTCTACTTTAAAAGCCTATCAATTGGCATAAATCCCTCAAATCCTTGTATATCCTCCTCGAGTGCCTGTGCAATGGAATGCCTAATGCCCAAGGAGTTCCGGTAGCCAAGTGCTTATGCAATATTCCCAACTGAAACCGAGACTAAGACAAAGACTCTGGGTGGTTTAACGTGAGTACCTTGCCTGCCGTGCTGTACCGCGCCTGTGGCCTAATTCATAAATGATAAATTCAAGATGAGTCAAGAGAATTTATGACATTATTCGCACAACTGCATCTATATTATTACATATAAATAGGTGGTACATGTATACAGTAGATATATGACTGAGAGGCAACTCATGGATGACAATTAGGTGCCAGATGTGGGCGACATTCGCTCGTTGCCGTTGCAATGTCATCTCCGTGCATTTTTCCTGTGTTGCGGTTGCGGCTTAATCCCCCCGTCTTCTCCCACAATTTAAACCCAAACGAGAACGGGAGAGGTAACTGTCAACATATTGCCACTGGTTGTCAGGCTCAGCATAATTCGCTGCCAGATCCTAGCCGAAAAAAATACGGGAAAAATCCGTGGAACTCTTACGATTCCTTTCTCGCATCCGTGTCGCTGCTAGTTTTCTTTATTTTTTATTCGTTTTTATTTTTTTTTTGTGTTCGCCGTGGTAGAGGAAACATTTCCGAGCCGACAACACTTCAACATTGTCAACATGACAAAACGTAATCAAAGCTGACATGATATTCCCTCAGTGGCCGCATGCCTTTGAAGCATCCGAGGTAGCAGCTAGCTACCACGACTATAATTTCCAAGTGGAGCATATAAAACGCCAGTCCCGGCTGTAACCAGTCCCAGACGCAGCACACGCACTGCGGAGCGGTCCTCCTCCCCATCCTCCTCCATCGCCAGTCCCTCCTTGCCCTGTTTTATTTTCGTTCGCTCCATTGGATTGCAACATGTGCCAGTTGCATAGAGACACTGAGAGGAAATCCTGGGTGGAATCAATCATTCAAAGGGACTTTTTTTACTTGTTTTAGTAGAAAATAGGGTACTTTTCATTCAAAGTCCTTGTAATACAGGTTATTCGGTTATTTATAATTTTAGTTAAAAGCTTGTTACGATGTGAAGGAGTCATTTCCGACCCTATAGTCTTATAAATTCTTGATCAGCATCAACAGGCAAATCGATCTAACCATCTCCGGCAGCAAAGAAAAATTTGAAATTTTTTGGAAGTTTTATAAGGTTTTAAAACTTGACAAAAAAAAGACAAAAAAATGAATTTGTTTAATATTTAAATAGAGTATGTAGATTTATTAACCTATTAAAAACTGACATAAAAACGCTTTCCGAACTGAAATTAATGCATTTTCGGCTTAGTTATGAGTATTTTAAGCTTTGATTTGTACAAAAAATTGTCATATAAGAATATAAATAGTATTGGTTCAAAAAATGGTATTATAGTTTTAGTCAGAAGCTTGTTAAGATGTGAAGGAGTCATTTCCGACCCTATAAATCATATATATTCTTGATCAGCATCAACAGGCGAATCGATTTAGGCAAGTCTGAGGGAAACATTTTTTTTTTTCTTTTTTTTTCTTAAAAATTTTTATATTTTAAAAACGTGTAAAATTTATAAAAATTTTAGTTTTCTAAAATTGTAAATATAGTATGCAGATTTATTAACCTTGTAAAAACTAACATAGGAACGCTTTCGGAATCAAAATTGAAGCTTTTTTGCCTTAGTTATGAGATTTTTAAATTTAATTTCTGGACAACATTTTCCTATAAAAATATAGATAAATATTGACTTAAAGAATTGTATTACAATTTTAGTCAAGAGCTTGTTACGATGTGAAGGAGTCATTTCCGACCCTATAAATCATATAGGCGAATCGATCTAGCCATGTCTGGGAAAAACAATTTTTTTCGAATTTTTTCTTTAAAATTTTAGAAGGGGTTCAATAAAAAAAATGCTAAAATTTTGAATTTTTATAAATTTATATTTGAGTATGCAGATTTATTAACCTGATAAAAACTAACGTAGGAACGCTTTCCGATTTAAAATGAATGCAATTTTAGCTTAGTTATGAGTTTTTTAAGCCTTAATTTCTGAATAAAATTGTCTTATAAAAATATCGATTTAAAGAATGCGAATATTTTAAACTAAATTAAGATTGATTTCCTTTTCGATCTTATAATATAATATATATATAATATATATAATTAACTAATAAGATAGTTCCCTTGTTTCAATTTCAGTCTTTAAGAAAGATTTCTTCTTATTTATTATGTTAAATTCATGACACCTTTTTTCCAGTGCAGCCCCACCCTAAAAAAAGATTATCCAAAAACCTTCACCCCTTGCGGCTGCCGCTGCACAAATCTGATTGAGGTTTCCCTTTCAATTTGTTTGGTTTTTTATTAAGCTGCAACTGTTTTTTATCGCTCGTTCGGCAATTCAAATTAAAGATCTTCCCTTCACTCATTCCCTAAACGGTCTCCGCCAATTCCCCCGGGGACATTGCCTCTCCAGTAGTTGCTCTTGTTTCCCTTTTTTTCTCCCGTGCCGAGCGTATGTGAATGTTTTGCTTGGAGCTGATCTACGACGATGCAGTTCCCAAGTTCGTGGACAGCTCGGCTGACAAATTGAGACAAATGGTGTGGGTTGGAGGATATCTGATGCTGATAGGGCTACTCACGGCACTGGCCACCCTGAAGCAGAGTCAAGAATTTTCCAAACAAGATGGGAAATGAATCAGAAGTTGCTACTTATCGATATATATTCAAGGGAAATCAGTGAAGTCGAGTGGAGGGAGTATCTAATATAATATCTCAGGGATTTTAATTACGTTTTAAAGAAAACAATAAATATCTATACATGTTTCAACATTAAAAGAAAGCAGATACCTTGCAAGGCTTCAAAAATCAATTTATATTCTATATGCCCAAGACATTATAATAAACAAGGCTTTTATCTTTCTAAAACTTTATAAGACTACCAATAAATATATGAAAATCCCTACAATTACTTACAAATATATATTTTTAAACCCAAAAAAACACTTAGTAACCTTTCTTCTTTTCACTTAACAATTACCTAGGGAAAATAAACCCAAATTTCTTTTAAATTCAATTTAATTCCTTCACCTTAGGAGCATTTTCAGAAAACAAATCTCTTAATTATTTTTGGTAAAACTATGGTAAATTCTATGGAAAATCAATTAACGATGGCTGAGAACAAAGAAATGGAGAAGAGCTCGCGCTTATGGCCGCTTAATGTCACAATTTCACTTTAATTAATAGATCGTAAATGTGTGTTTGCTCCCAAAATTAGTAGACAGCTGTCCGCCGATGTCGTCAAAAGATATTTTATGGTTTATGCCATTTGTTTATGACCCAAGTCAGGATAGGCGGGGAGATATCTTCAAACGGAATGCAAAATTTTATGTCCTATGTCCCATAAAAGTAAGGAAATTTCCTAGAGTCTGATGCCCCTGGCTGTGCTGTCAAATTAATTGATATCCGTTGGCACTTATCGATTATTTACGAGCGCCTTCTCCGCTGGCCACTGTCAAGGGAGATTTTGCATTCGTTACTACGAAACTAAAAGTGAAAATTCCTTATTTAATGGCTCTCTGATTGCAGGCACCGTTGGAGGAGCAGGAAGTGGAGCAGGAGGAGGAGGAGGAGGAGCTGGTATCTCAGTGGGCCACTCAAGGAAACCACGACGCAATCGCACCACCTTCAGCTCCGCCCAATTGACAGCACTGGAGAAGGTGTTCGAACGGACGCACTATCCGGATGCCTTCGTTCGCGAGGAGCTGGCCACCAAGGTGCACCTGAGCGAGGCGAGAGTACAGGTGAGTTTCGGTTGAACATCGATTTTTGTGCTTAAAATTTCGCAACAAGTCTGAGATAGTTTGTTAGTTTGGCAAAATTAGGTCAGTTGGTATTTGTTTTTCAACCAAAAAATATATGTTTCATTGCTGACAACATCAGGGCCATGTTACATGCTAAATAATGGATTTAATTTTTGTGAAAGTCAACAAAAGAAACATGTTTAAGCTGCAAAATCCATTGTTTAATCTTTTTTGGGCTCTATTAATAATGCATTATTTATTACTGGTTAAAGAACATGAAGCAATGAAAAAAAAGAGAAAATAAATACTCTAACTTCTCTGATGAATTATTCATGCCTTAACATATATGTACATAGCTTTCAGATCGAAGGCTAATACCTTTACTAATACCTTCATAAATCACATGAGAGAATTTGCTTGAAATTAGGGGCAATTTGCATAGTTTAACCCTGGCTAATTCCTTTATCAATTACTTCAATGCCCCCCGTTTCCAGGTCTGGTTCCAGAACCGGCGTGCCAAATTCCGAAGGAACGAGCGGAGCGTGGGCTCGCGGCCCCTACTGGACGCAGCTCCTCAGCTGGTGCCGGCGCCCATTAGCAATAATATGCACAAATATGCGAATCTGCCCCATCACCCGACGGCAGTGCCACCGCCGCCACCGCCACCTCCTCCTCATGGGGCATATGCCCTGAATTTTGGGCCACTGGAGCTGCGCTCTTGCCAGAACTATACGAACTGCTATGGGGGATTCACAGCGAATCCTTCCGCCGGCAACGGGCTCTGCGGTTCGGCCTTCTTTGGAGCAGCCACCAACTACTGTGTGGCGGCCAACTATGCAAAGAACGCCGCATATCCGCCGCTCTGATGGCTATCATCCTTTTAATGGGCCCCACGGGGTTTACATATACACATGCATATATGTATTTCAATTAGCCAAATTGCATTAATGCTTAAAAATGTATTAAGACTAATATATTCACTCGCTTGTCTACCTGACTAATATTTATATTTATACGATTCTCAACGAGATGCGACGATGCCACACCGAATAAATAACAGTTTCTAAGAGAACATATCTCGGAGATTTATGTATGGATTGGGGATTAATTAATTATATTAATGGTTGGATTTAAATATTCAAGATATATATTTAATGTCGGAGATTTGTGTAAATAACTAAGAGAAAGATAAATGCCTTAAATATTTAGTCATCTACTAAAAGCCTCTTATAATCATACATTTATTTATATGATAAATGTGCTATGAATTATTATTATAAAATAAGATAGGTAGAATTCATTAAGAATCATCTTTAAAGGTTTTTTAAATAAGAAATTCTTATAAATTTATATAAATTCTATTCTAGATGTTACATATTTAAATCCACCTCAGTTTAAACTAATTTAAATCCTTTACTAATATGTCAACCCCAGCCACCTTTCTTATCCTCTGTGAAAATTGTGTGATTGAATTCATCAACTTGTGAACTACAAGCAATTAGCTCTCATCTTCCTTCCCGATATGCAAAAGTTTTCCATTTATTAAACTGTCAGTGGCGTATGAAATTGACATGGCTTATTTAATTATTTACTTAGTAATATGATTTAATTAAAAATTCATATCACCGCGCACACACACACACACACATAGGACTCAAGGGTTCGGTTCCTTCCATCCACATTTATATGTGTGTTTTTTCACCCGCATGTGTTAATTTGTATAATAAAACTTAATTAAAGTCAAAACAAATAAACAAACGGGGGAAAACGAGACGAAAACGAAGACGCAGTCAAAGTCGAAGACACATACACAAACAGTGAGGGAAAACTTTTGCCTAGCCACAAAAACGTTGGCAAAAGCGAAGCCACAATCAAAGTAGATTAAGATTGTGGAAATCTCGGTTTTCCATGGCAATTAAAAGAACAGATTGCTGTTCACCCAAAAGGAGCACAATGGCTCTATATAGCAATGCACTCTCAAACGCATTCCCAAAACTCTGGGGGAAGAACTATGTTGGGAGACGGAGGAGCATTCCCAGCTACCAGATCAGATAGATGGTATATCCCATCCACTTGAGAAGAGGTTAACAAGTATGTAATATATTTAAATGCAAATAAAAATTCCCTTTTATCCGCAGGCCAACACATGACAGAGCCAAACAAGCTGGGAAACGAATGCGAAATGCAAATTAACGTTCGGAATGTGGAACGGTTTGTGCAGCTAATTTGCATAAAGCGTTGGCGCTCCGAGCGTAAAACATTTTTACAATATTTACGAAATTGCAATAATGTTTGAAAAGCAGAACACTGAGAAGCGAAAGCATTGGAGAAATGCGTTTTGTCCTTTTTTCCGGCTCCGACTCCGACTCCTGGTCCTATGTTCCTGCTTCAGCTCCTGCTGCGATGCGGCAAATTGTTTGCCGGGCGTAGGACGACATTTTTGCTGACAGGCGAACATGTTGCAGGAGTCCTCGAAAGCGAAATACAAATTTATGGGCCAAACAACAACAGGAGACGAGACACACAGTACACACACACACACGCATCGTGTCCTGTCAAATCAAATGGCAAACGGAAATGCCAGAGCAAACGAGGTCCTTGTGTGAGCTATGCGAGTGTGTATTTCCTCATTTCCCCCAATGGATGTTTCACCTAAACGAAGAATTGTTTGAATTGGACAGTTAATATTAATCAATGACACACTTTTACGCTTTTGTTTTCAAATTTATGGTGTGTAAAAGCAATATTTAGCATCATTTTATGATTAGAGATGAAAGAGTATGGTGTTGTAAGAGTGTGGACAATAAAGAGAGCCAAAGAGCAGACCAACTGAGACATGAACAATGAACGAATGAGTAACTAAAAAGTTAAATTAAGAAAAATTAATCTAAACAAATATTTCGATTTCAACATTTGCAATCACTAATTAATTATATTAAACAAACAACAACCTTAACCTTAGATGAACGTATAAAAAAGAAAGAGCAACAGTTGGAATCCCCCGTCATCGAGCTCTATAATTAGGTGATAATTTCTGGCTCTGTTAAAAAGCAATTATTTATAAGGGACACCTAATGAAATGGGGGACTCTATGCAGATGCGTGGCATGTTCCAGGTCCCCACACATCATATGTGGCATAAAGAAGACAAGGGCAACATTGTCAGATGAAAGGGAAATGCGATGCCATGCGATGCGATCGCTGTGGATGTGAGATCCCGGTGACAGCATCTTAAGTTCCATGCCGACACAGGAAAAGATTTGTGTACTGTCAGCGTTTCTTGGTTTGAGAGCGAGCTGTCAAAATATGTCACAATATGATGGATACATCACATGGATCGTAAAACGAAGGAAAGCGCCAATGAAATGGAGATGAAAAAGATCATAAAAACAGACAATATGATTATATTATAGTTGCACACTTAATATGAAATTAAATGAAGCTCTTATTAAATATTATCACAATAGTATCCTTTAAGTGTCAACTTTAAATTCTAAATATTATCTTAGAAACAGAAACAGGTTCTCAAACTGTTTCTTTAGTGTCATTTCGAATGGGAAAATTTTGAATAATAATAATAAATTGTGTTTGTGCTGTCTTATTATACCCTTGCAGGGTATTATAATTTCAGTCAGAAGTTTGCAACGCAGTGAAGGAGGCACCTCCGACTATATAAAGTATATATATTCTTGATCAGGATCAACAGCCGAGTCGATCTAGCCATGTCCGTCTGTCCGTCTGTCCGTCTGTCCTTCTGTCCGTCTGTCCGTCTGTCCGTTTCTACGCAAACTAGTCTCTCAGTTTTGAAGCTATCTGAATGAAACTTTGTAGTTAGCCTTCTAAATACTCTCACTCGTATATATGTCGGAACGGGCCGGATCGGACCGGATCGGACGACTATATCATATAGCTGCCATAGGAATAATCGTAAAATGTTTACAAAAAATTTTTTAACTTTTTCAGTTTTCAATAGAATTGGATCAAATTTAAGATATAGCCATTTTACTATACTCTACAATTTTGTGTAAAATTTTATGAAAATCGGACTAATATATCATATAGCTCGCATAGGAACGATCGAGAATTTAATACAATTAAATTTATGACTTTTTCAGTTTTCAACTGATTTTCATTAAATTTGAGGTATAGCCATTTTATATAAGTCTTAAATTTTGTGGCAAATTTCATTAAAATCGGACGACTATATCATATTGGTGCCATACAAACGATCGTTTGATGTAGAGGAAAAATACAAATCTGTGAATGTAAAACTGCAAATATAATATGTATAGGTGAATGAAATGAAAGCAGGTATTACTTCATTGTTTTTTAACACAAATAACATATATATAATTTATATTGTATGGATTCCCATTCATAGAAGTTCTATCTGCAAGGGTATATAAACTTCGGCGTGCCGAAGTTAGCTTTCTTTCTTGTTTTTTGTGTGTTTTACGTAAATACGTGAATCACAGGTGACCTGTTTGACGAACAACGACGACGACAGCAGGTCTTTAGAACCGGAATGAGAGGTTCTATTCTATATCTATTATATTCCCTTTATTCGAGATTGTGTTTGTTTACAAATATTTTCTAGCTTCGAAACCAACAACAAATTATATTCGTATTAACGAATAAACTGGTTATAGTTGGGAAACATAATCAGCTAAAACTTTATGTAATTTGGCATAAGAAATAGCTATGAAAAATTACTATAATGTGTGCCCTAAGTTAAATGATCGTTTTTAGCTGGCATGGTGTAGCAGAGGCTCGGCGGAGAAATCTCTGGGGGATTCCTATTACAAAAATCACATGATCTGGAGCATTCCTGCTATAAACCAAGGCCAGGTTATTGACTCAAAATGAAGCATCTCAATCAGTTTTGCTGTTACACTTAATAACTTAAAGTACAAAACATTCAACTGCTGACAGCTTTAAGTAGAGGGAATCCCAGACCGCAAAATATTTAAAATAGAACGCAAAAGAACAAGCTATCCATTAACATGTGTAACTTAATAGAAAATAAAACAAAATGGTAAATACATTTGATGGTATTTTCAGAACAGACAATCAATTTGGCCCCAGAGCCGCGAATTGAATAGAAAACCCATTAATGACAGGCTTGATTAGCATAATGTATTAAAAATATGAAATACAAAGTGTGTGCGTGTGACTAACCAAATGTGTGATAACCGACGAAAACAAAGCACCGGCGAAATTTTATACCTATGTATATATAATTATACAACACACATTTTCTGTGGCTGGTTTATATTTCATTTTATTTGATTTTATGCTAATATGCGAGCGGCGAATGCGAGTGATTCCCAAAATCCCACACATTAAGCCAGTGAGTTGGCGAAAAGGTTAACCCCCAAATCTGCGAGAAAACTGGTCTCCCCTAAGGGGATGGTCATCGATATATTGTTTTGTTTGAATTTTGTTTTGTTTTCGCCATGAATTGTGTCATTTTTGGACAACAAAATATGGGAGAGAATGGAGGGAGCACCACCTGACCACTGCCTACAGCAGAACCAGACGAGCAGGTTGTTGAACCACGCAACGAAATCTGTTTATAAAACGGACCGTAGCTGCGAAAGTGATCCACAGTTTCAAACACACCGATCTAGAGTATAAACCAATCAAATCAAGATGCGTGCTGCCGTCATTGTGTTCGTGTTTGTGATTTTCGGGCTCCTTAGTGTCCTGGAGGCGGTGCCCGCTCCTCAGTTTTATGGCGGTTATCCTGGTTACGGCGGTGGCTACGGCGGTTATCCCGGCTATGGTGGATTCGGTGGCGGCGGATATCCTGGATTCGGATTTAACCGCGGCGGTTTTGGCAACTCCTACGCCAGTGCCCAATCTTCTGCGTCGGCTGGCGCTGGCGGTTTCGGCGGTGGCTTCTATGGCTAAATAGCTTTACTAAGCCCGGAATAATCATAAACTATATTTAATGTAAAATAAACTAGATTCAATAATTATTGTGACTCCAAAAAAAATCATTCTTTCCTTTCTGAATCATTTGGATTTCGCGTTTATGTATTAAATTTTCTTAATTATTAAGAAATTCCCGTTTGCAGCTGGAAAAATGCTAACATTTTGCGGGGGAAGGGGCAGGCGGAAAACTTTTGCAACCCAAAATGAACTTTCACTTGGCCCCAAAAATTTGGTTTCGCCACAGCTGTGGCATACATTTCCCTCTGAGCCGCAAGTAAATCAATGCAGGCAGCAGTCTTCGACGACATCTTCGTCCTCGAAGGATGCCAAAGCCGGGTCAAAGCCTGTGGATGTGCATCGAACTTGGTTCAACGACTTTGCGGCATCATTAAAAAACTTTTCTTTTTGTAGCCACGGCATCTTGAGATGTCCTTAGCCGGAGCAGAGCAGAGCACTCCTCTGACTTTTGGTGGCACACACACACATCTGGAGGACATCTTATCCTCATATTGTTATTTTTGAATTTATGTATGTCCCTCGGACAGAGAATGCAAGTTAAGCTGAATAGCTTCTTTTGCCACTGGTTGACGTTGACTCGTAAGTTGCATTGATGGTCGCGACCGGGACTGTCCCAGCTCCTGCCTGCCACTGGCCATTCAATGTCGCGGCTCTGGCATTGATGTTCATCCATTGTGTGTCCTCTTCATGTCATGTGCATCCTCCGCCTCCTTCATTGGCCTTTCCATTCATGGCGGCGCCTGCAAGTCATGGGCTTTCAAAGGCATAATATAATAACGCGTTTATGTCCTTTCAGCAGTTTTATGATGCCCGTTCCTGGCAATGGCAATGGCAAAGCCACAAGACCTGGCCCAGGATGTGGATCCGCCAGTAATGACACAGCTAGGAAAATTCTTATATATAAATAAGAATTTTATTGGCATAACTTTAAAGGGTCTGAAGATTATATCAGACGAAGGACAAATCATTTTGGAAATCGGAAAACAGTCCACCAATTAGCCTTTTACTAAGATTTCTTAATTAACAATGATTTAAATGTATAAAAATAAATGGAATCAATTGGATATTTAGGCTTTTAAACTTGGAATTCTTTCGAGAATTGAACTATATATCAAATCGCTAACGAAAATGAACTCTTTTTGCTGATTCAAAGAGGGAAACTTTGTGTCGCCCCCCCTAAAAAAAAAATCAAACAATTGTCTAATCCCTGGCAATTTACATCCTGCCAGTCAGTCAGTCGTCAATTGTTGGATGACTAAATCAAGGATTCTTTTCGGCAACACGTAAAGGGCGTTACCAAGAAGGGGAGCAGGAGTGCATGGGAATGGAGTGCAAACTGTTCGCCTAAAATATGTCAATCGGAATGTAAATCATGGCGTAATTTGCATTTTGAGCAAATCTGCTTCAATTGAAATTGTCGGCTCTGGTTCCCCCGCATCTCCGCCGCCTCCATCGATGCCCAATGCATTTGTTTCTGCTGCTGGCAACACGTGAGTTATGGCAATGATTTTGACAATTGTCAAGCGACGGGACACGCCCACCTCCCTGACGGCGGCAAATGGGCGTACAGCCGACGCATCCGTTACGTGTTCGTATATATATTAAACATATATGTACATATATGTATAGTTGTTTGCTCCTCGAATTCGGCGGACACAATAAATCTTGACTCTTGTTATCCAACATAATTGCGTTGACGTGTCCCAATGCGAATTCAAATCATGTTAATATATATTTACAGCTTTGATTTGCCGTTGGGGAGAAAATGCCTCAAGGTATAAAAGTTTTGGTTTATGGAAGAAATATTATCGCTTGCTTATTTTTAGGCAGACAATTTATTAAGGAATATTGATTTTTATAAAGTTGCAGGTTGATATAATATTTGTCGGAAGTTTGCAACGCAGTAAAAGAGTCATCGATACGCACTAACTCTATCCGGCGCCTTTTTCTCTGTCTCTAACTCTACCTCTCTCACTCACTCCCTCCCTGTCTCTCTCTTGCTCTCTGTTCATCTCTAAATTGTTCGGTATGGCTATCTCTCTCCACAGACACCCCTATTTCGCCCTATCTCCCTCTCTGATCATCTCTAGAGATAGCTCCTTCTCTCTCGCTCTCTCTTTCTCTGTTCTCTGTACTCGGGGACTATAAATAGAGGCACCGCTGTTGCGCCTGCCTCAGTCTGTGCGCGACCTCCCCGCTGTTTACATCTGTAGTGATAGTGATTACCCTTGGACCTGATGACCTAACCAATGGAATACATTTGGATAACTAGGAAGAAGTTAATTGAAGTCACCAAGAAGATAAATATCAACTGGAAGGTATTGAGAAATGTGTTTTCTACTGATAAGTCCTAAGCAGGACAATTATTTTTATAGCACCTATATGCTATAGGAGGCCTTATTCTAGAACCAGCTTTGCTAGCTATGCATTTATTTTTCAATTCATTCCCCTTATTGCACATGGACTCTAGTACTTCATTTTAATTTAAAGTTATACAGCAATTTGTATTAAAGATATCTAACTTAAAGCCTAACTTAATTATAAATCATTCACAAAAATTGATATCTTACCACTACGATAATTAAAAAAAATTTTTTTTGCTAGATTTTAGGGAATCATAATTTCAGTCAGACGCTTAAAACGCATCGAAGGAATCATTTCCGACCCTATAAATCATATAAATTCTTGATCAGCGTGAAAAGTTGAATCGATCTAGCCATGTTTGGTAGAAAACAATTTTTTTTTAATTTTTTGCAAAATTTTACCGTTAAAAAAATGTAAATTGAAATTGAAAAAATTTTACAAAAATTAATTTTTGTAACTTTTAAAACTGAATATGTAGATTTGTTAACCCTACCAAAACTAGCACAAAAAACCCTTCCAAATAGAAATTAAAGCATGTTTGGCTTAGTTATGACATTTGAAAAGCGTTGATTTACCCAAAAAATGTGTATATAATATTGATATTGATTTTATATACCTAGAATACAAATATTTTATGTTTTATTGTAGGTTTACAAAGACTAATAAGCCAATAATTGCCAAACATCATATATATGTACATAATTCTATTTGCAATCAAAAGCGTATTCAATAAAAACAAACATGTTTGAACAAAAAAGTCCAAAAAATATTTAACATAATTTTTCATTTATATTAACAAAGGTGTTCGTTGTTTTCCGATATATTATTTATCTTGATTTCAGAAGAAACTTGAAAAGATATTGCTGTTATATTTGCGTTAATTTAAAGTCTACGAAATACAAAATACAATCAATTCATTTATGATAAAATTTCAAATAAAATCACTGACAAAGTAAGTAAGAAATATATGAAACCCAATGTTTATTTTATTTACTCAAACATTTCAGTTTCAATTTAGAAACAATTAGGTGTACATCAATTTAAGCATTCAAAGTTCCCTCAAAATTCGTAAAACGTCCCATTAAAAATACAAAAATATACCTTTAAAGTACACTGCTCTTTTATTTTGCAAATAGGATTTACTTATAAGCCGATTTGTAAAAGGGAAATTGCATAACTCGCCTAAAAATTGTAGAAACCGCAAAATAGAATAGTGCAAAAACTTTAGCAAAAGGAATTCGATTTGCATTCGGCATTCAGCGATACTTTTTTTTTGTTGGGTAAAATCCGGATTTATTGCGAAAATTATGTTTTGATTTATTTTATTTTTCATTTTATTTATGCCTCCCTTAACTCTCACTCGACCCTTTCACCTGCTACTGCCATTTTCACAATTTTCCATCTAAGAATGCCTGCGTGCATGTGTGTGTGTGTGTGTGTGTGTGTTTATGACACAACTTTCATCACGTACCACGTAGAGCAGATGTGCATACGCCAAAAAGTATGCAACAGCAAAACGTGATTTCGTTTTAAATTTCAACTGCGAGTGCTGTCAAAGCACAATTTATTTGCTGAACGCATTCATTTGGAAATTATCGTATAGGAAATTATTGGCTCCTGCCAGAACATAGCCATGTTTTGTTGCCATTCATCCATATACGTACGTATGAACATATATTGTGCCCGTAAGCGTACAGTTCAAACGTGAGCATTCAAATTGTTATAATAAATTCTTGGCAGACGAAAAGGAAATGATTAAGGAATACACAATAGTTGCATAGCATTCTAATGGCAGTTTAAGCCAAATCAATCTGTCTGCGATTATTTACAAAGTTAAGCAATTAGGCAATATAAGTTGACATTTTTATTAACCATTTAAGGCAAAGAGCGCTGGCAAGACTCTACGAAAAGGATTTTAAAGAAGCCGCCTGTTTTTCCTCTGGGGTGAAGTAAATGGCTCTTACTAGTATATTATAATGTTATTTATAACAACTATTTCCCTAAATTTCCCATAACCAGATGAAACTGCAGTAGCATTAAGATATAATACCAAACACTGGTGATCATATCGTAAAACAGACTTCGATTCGGTTGATACAATCCACAAGTCCATAGTTCCAGCTTCAAACTGTTGTTATACGTCACAAAGGCACTTATCTAAATATATACAATTTAAGTATTAAGTATTACTATTACTTAAATCTTTAAGTCACTTAAAAATACCTCCTTCGACCAGCGTTGCTCGCTCCAGGCATGCCGAGCCGCACTTTGATACTCCATTATCACATCGCACATGTAGTCTATGAGAAAATAGTCCAAAGATCGTATTTGATAGCTAACGCAGCCGTAGACCAACCAAAAAACTGGTGTCGATGTGCCAAAGGTGAAGAAGGCACCCCAGTATGCTTGGATTACACCAATTATAAAGTTATCGAGGCGAGAGGCTACCATCTGTGGACCGTAGATCTTATTTATATTGATGGCTGTCTTGGTCAGGGAAGAGTGCAGTGACCATAGATGCTGCCATTCCTTTAGGTCTCGAGGTGATCTCGATGACGACGTTACAATAGCATCCAGGCGTCGATTGACGCAATCCAAACCTCGGGCAATATGCCACAGGGCGAGAAAGTAACCCATTGGCACCATGACCAGCACATTGTTTGCATTGGCCAGGAAAACAAATCTGGCTATTACCAATAATTTCATGCTCTCCATGGAATAAAACATGAAAATTGATTCCGTGAAGCACAACCAGATCACCGTAAAAAACTTGACATAAAGCAAAACCTTCAGGGATCGTCTTACACCTTGTCGGCCACATCGCTTCTCTTCCTCAAGTAGCTTCCGTAGCAATGGTTCCATTTCCCTGAAGGCCGTGTCCCGAAATCCTCGCGATAAGATCGTATATATGATAACACTATAGGTCACCATGTACCTCACATTGTACGTGATTAGGATTAGTTGTGGAAAATGCCCCTTGGCCTGAAACGAAATCCGTGCATGCCACAAAACCATGGGCACCATGGTTAGGGTCAGGATATTCGCAATCAGAGCATAGTATCGCGAAAATACGGAGGAGCGGAACCTCAGCTTGATGAAGCGATGCGATGTTATTCCAATAAACAGCGAATAGCTGAAATATATGTTCACCAACGAATTAATCATCTTTTACGTCCTTTCTCGGCGAGCTTTGGAACTCAACTGATGTCATTAGGCTTTTGTAATGAATTAAAGTGCTTTTATCTATGAGAGTGTGTTCAAGATTTACAACAGATAGATAGATGATTATAGCTTGTACATGATATTACTCAGTTATAAGTTAGGCGGAATTGCATTAACACAATGAAGTGACCCAAAATTCCTCCCGCCATTTGAAGCCAGTTCTTCCTATTGGGTTTGAACAGTCCGCAGACCATTAATTCGAGCGTCATACTTTTTTCATAGAGGATAAAAGCATTCAACTGAAAATGAAGACGAACTTTAATATATCAACATATTTTCCACAATATTAATATCCACCTCTTTGGACATAGTGCCTTCGGTAATTGAGTCCTTGCGCATATTATGATATTCGACTATTAAATCAAGTATATAATCGTTGAGGAAAAAGTCCAACATGCGTATCAAGTGCAAGATGGCTCCAAAATAAAAGTAATACCATGGATCCCACTCACTATTCAAGAAGAGAAAAACCATGTAGAAGTCTATTATACTGAACAAGAAGTGGTTCAATCTCAACACCAACAACTGTGACTCAAAATATCCGTTGATCCTTCGCGCTGTTCGACCTAGATTGATGTGAATTTTCCACATGTGAGAAATTGAGTGCGGTCTTAGACCGATCATGTGCTCTTCTATAATTTGATTAATAAAATCATAGCCTCGGGCAATGTGCCAGAACGACAAAAAGGAGAAATACGAAGATCCGATTAAGATGTTGAACCCAAAGTTAAGTAAAAGAGATTCCAAAATATAGGCCTCCCTAAATCTAAACACGAACGGTACCATATAGTTTGCCAGCATTTGATAAACCAATGTAAAGATCTTTAGGTAGAGCAATCTCCGTAGCTTTAGGCTCGTCTCTGTTCCAGATCGCATCCTGGCTCGATCCAATTGAATATTTAATTTTTGTAGGTCCAAAAGCACTCGGTCTCTGCCACTCCGAGTGCTCACAGTGTAGAGGATGACTGCATAGTTGATCAAATTAAGGCAAAAGGGTGTCAGCTTCAGGAAATACGGTATTTCGACGAGTAATGAAGCATGAACAGAAGAAATCCAATAACAATAAGGCAGCACAGCCAATAGAATTATGTTTACAATCCAGGCATATATCTGCGTTATTCTAGTTCTCCGCAACCTGCCATCCACTAGTTTATAAGAGGTCATCCCGATAAGTAGAAGGTAGACGTGACTGAGTCCAAAAATTTTCTTCATTTTGTGACAACCGACTTTAAAAAAACTGCAACTGCAACTGACTTTTCTGTATTAAATTCGGGTCATTTGCCAGCTCCTCATTATCTTTATCAACGATGTATAGTCACTCCAAAAGTCCAAGTTTATGACACAATCCGAACTCGATCTGGATTTCTTGATTTGCGGAAACGTCTTAAAATGTCGCTTCCATTTCTTAATTTTCCAAAGTGGTCTTATTTAGTATAAGGATTGTCCAGGTTTCAAGTGTTTACGAGACTTAAGTATTGTTTATGATATAACCTTGATCATTATTGCTTATAATAATTTAATATTGCTAAGATTTGATCTATTTCTTGGTCATAATTAGATGAAATTGCAACAACAGGCTAGAATGAATGATGATAGATGCTATCATGTGCATCCATTTATTCCTATTGGCCGGATACAGTCCGCAAACCAGCAAGTTAAGCCTCATGCTATGTTCATAAATCACATAAGAACTGAGCTGAAATGTAAATTTTGATTTAGAGCGGAGATCTCTTAATTCCCAGTAAATATTTATTCACCTCCTTAGACATCTGGCCCTCGGTAATGTAGGTCTTAACCTCGCTCTGGTATTGAGTCATCAAATCGCAAATGTAGTCGTTGAGAAAGAAGTCCAGGCTTCGTATACAATAGAGAAAGAAACCGAAAACGTTCTCAACGGACGAACAATCATCGTATCGTGCGTTGACCGTGCCCAAGTATCCGTTGATAATCGAGAAAATAAAGTGATCGAAACGTGAGGCGAGCATCTGTGGTCCGTAATGCCTGTTTATACGTTCGGCCGTCCTGCTGAGATTCGCATGCAAAGCCCAAAGACTCCGAAGTTCCTCAGCTTGCTCTTTGAAATCATTCCAATTAGCTGATGTAATCTCCTGAAGTTGCTGGTTCACAAAGTCGTAGCCCCGCGCTATTTGCCAGAGGGACACAAAGTAGAAATATGTGCTGGCAATGAGTATGTTAAAGGACATATTTATCAGTAATGCCTTCATTATATACGCCCAGGAATGTCCCCATCGCCAGACAAATATGCTCATCATGTAGGCGAAACACAAATACGTTAAAGTAAATGTTTTCAGTAGAAATAATCTTTGCAACTTCGAGTTCATCTGCTTTCCCGTACGCAACATCTCACGATTCAGTTGCTTTATAACCAGTTCCAGATCCAACAGCATGGCGTCTCGATAGCATCTTGAAATCAAAGTGTAGGCAATCACAGCATAGCTTATCGAATGCACAACGTAAGGAATTGTCCACACAAACGAAGGCACCCAGTCAACCATGGTCATAGTCCGTGCCGATTCCCATAGAGCCCCCGGCAGCAGGGTCAATGTGACGGCGTTGATTACCAGGGCATACGCCTGGGTTATCCTTGTTTGCTTGAATTTTCCGCCGACGTTTAAGTAGGAGGTCATACCGATGACCATGACGTATCCATTATATATCTGAGCTATCCGCTGCATTTTCATATTAAGAGTGAACCGACCTCCAAGAGCTTCGCACTGCAACTGAAGTCGACAATGCTTTGGCGAGGAGCCATTAAGCCAAGTGTTTACTCAATAAACAGATCAAAATCAGCTTTAATTGAAACAGTGGATGGACATCGATGAAATTGCCTGGGGAGTGGCTCCCCTTGAAAGCAGTTAACAACCTTTCCACCATCATATCAATAGTTATAATTGCAAATGTTTATATTATAATTACAATCTGGCTTTGCCATTTGACTTTTACTTAAATATTTTCAGTATCATCATCCCTAAGAATCAAATAGAACTGAAGGAGCAGCATGGAGTTGGACATTACCACTGCCATTGTTTGAAGCCATTGGGTTTTATTGGTTATATAGAGACCACAAACCTTTAAATCGAGGCGCAGGCTGCTCTCATAAATCAGATAATCACTTAGCTAAAATTAAGACAATAAATTGGGGTTTTAAAATAATTGTTCTTTTACTCTTACTCACCTCCTGGGACATTACACCCTCGCTAATCTCGTGTTTGGGATGGCTCTGATATCGGCTGGTTAATTCACATATAAAATCATTTAAAAAGAAGTCGACAGTTCGCACTAAATAAAGTAAGGACGCATAAAACTTAATAAGGGTAATGCCTTCATGCAGGAAAATCATGCCAACGTATCCAAAGATAATGGTATATATAATGAAATCAAGCCGTGAGACAATCATCTGGAGTCCATAGTTCCTGTTTATCCTGTGTGCCATGCGACTGAGAGTCGAATGTAGGTACCACAAATCTCTCAGCTCCTCGTTGTTTAATTCCAATCCACCAACGATAATCTTAGCAATTTCTTCATTCACATAAACAAAGCCTCTGGCGATTTGCCAGAATGAAGCAAAGTAAAAGTACGTAGTGGCATTCAAGATGCTGTAGGCAGCATTAACAATAAAAGAATCCAAAGTTACAGAGCCGAGGAAAGTTAGTGGGGCAACGCACAAAAAACTAAATGTAAAGGTCTTGAAACTTAAAAGTCTCTGAAGCTTTGCGTTCCTTCTCATGCCAGCTTGTTCCATTTTTCGATTCAAATCCTTACTCAAGTACAGTAGGTCTATTAGCATGCTATCCCGATAGAATCGCGAGGTCAGGATATATACTATATTCGCATAGTTGACCGTATAAAGAATAAACGGGGTTATAAACATAATATCAGGCAGCCAGGGTGCAGACGCCGTTAACCAGGATATTGTCCAAAAAACAAATGGTAGAATAGAAATGATGAGCACGTTTAGGACCAAGGCATAGGCCCGCGTTAACCAAGTTTGCCGATATATCCCATTGACCACTTTGTAAGACGTCAAGCCGATGAGAAGGGCGTATCCGTGAAATAACCCCAGTAGTCTCTCCATTTCATCCGCTTTCCTCAAGTGTCTGACTACGACTAAAACGAACACTGCAGCGCTGCAGTTTTTAACCTTTGCATGCGAATCAGTCGATTCCATCGGGAGATTACCGCTTAAAAAACGACTTCTTGGTGATTCTGCTCATCTTCGATAGCGCTTACGGATCACCTTATTTATATTTAATTCAAAATAGAGAATGCAACTGCAGCGGTGCGTCTGGTTTAGTTCAATTTGTACTGGCTTGAGAAAATGTTAACTTTAGAGGATATTTGCCATGGCTATGGCCTTCTTATTGGCCTGACGTCCTACCGTCTGGTCAATGGTAGATATCAACAAACGAGGATAACCCAGGCATATGCCCTCATCATGAACGTGGTCGTCATCTGTACTTTGCCATTTGTTTTCTGGGATATAGCCAATGGAGTTAGGTTAGGGCCCTGGCTACCCGGAAAGATGGACATTGTTCCGTTTGTTCTTTACATTGTCGACTATGCGGTTATAGCCTATATCCTGGTTTCGCGATGCCAACGGGACAGCGTGGTAAAAGACATACTGGATTTGTCCGATCGCCTGACTCGGAATATGGATCGAGCTGGACTGAGACCGAACCCGCAGCTAAGAAGACTGCTGCACTTGAAGTCCTTTACATTGGCATACATGAACATTAGTTCAGTGGCAACGATGCTCTTTCAACAATCGGGAGTCCTGAAGACATTACAGAATAGCTTTGCTTACAGCATTCTAAACATAACTACGTACTTTTACTTTGCCTCCAATTGGCAAATAGCCAGGGGATATGATTGTTTAAACCAACAACTTGGTTCAGGAAGGACGTCAGAAGAAGAGATCAGAAATCTCTGGTCCCTTCATTTGCTTCTCGGGCGCATGGCCCAGCGGATAAACCGGATCTATGGACTCCAGATGCTCGTCTGCCGACTGGATTACATCATTTGCGACATTGTTGGCGGCTATATTAGCATTATTTTCCAGAATCAAGGATTCAATTTTCGAGTAGTGCATGCGACTTCAATATTGTTGGCGCGATCCCTGGACTTTTTCATCAACGATTTAATATGTGAATTGAGTCAAAGATATCAGTGCCATCCGAAGGACGAAGCAAGCGAGCGGATAATGTCCCAGGCGGTAAGGTAACTACAAAAATAAATATATGTATAAAAAAGTATATTATTTGATTAATTTTATAGCTAACTGATTATCTGATTTATGAGAGCAGCATGCAGCTTAATTTAAAGGTCTGTGGACTCTATATAGCCAATAGGAGCCAATGGCTTCAAATGATTGGATTTATAATATCCAACTCCACTCTGCTTGTGCAATTCTATATTATACTGAAAGAGGATAATACAAATTAATTTGAGAAATGTAAAAGAACGTATATCTTAGGTTTAAATAATGTGAATTTTTCGTATTTCAGGTGCGAATATAATACATAACCTTTAAATTTTTATGTTACCTCTTAAAATCTACACACGCAAGGACATGCCTTGCTCAAAATATAATCCTTGCCCTTTTAATGAACCCAAAACTTACGTCAAAACAAAGGGATTAAGTTTTATGATCTTGTTTACAAACAAAAGTGTGACCCTTTTCCGAGGATCCAGAACAGGTACATATACCTGCCCCCTGCCCTACCTGCTCAATAGGAAATATGTGCAAGTGCAAACTTACCTGTTTCCACATAAATATGGCGAGTTTTGGGACTCTTCACATCATTCGCAATTGAAACTTCAAGCATTCAACACACGCAACGCCCCACAATGGAAGGTCCTCTGTCGTTCATGCAATTCAATCCCGCCTGCCTGGTGCTCCTGGTGCTGGGAATCTCACTGCTGGACTACATGGTCAACACTTGGTCTGCCGAACAGAAGGACGCCAGGACATGCATCACATTCACAAGTGCATTTGCAAGGTGCCACAAGATGTCCCGGAACAGAAGCGAGGATGAGACTCCGCTGGCCAGATGCTGCGGCCTGAGCCACCTGCGATTGCGTAATCGCGTCAAAGCTTTGGCCGGCGTCAAGCGACGGCTCGATCAGGAGTTTTAACACTGCAAAACAGCACACACTACTTATAGTTAACAATTACACTAGTTACTTTAGCTTTAAACAATGCAAATATCAATAAATTAACACTTTTCACTTGCAATTTCACATTTTCTTTTCACTTTTTCTTTTAAGCGAGAGTTAGTGTTGGTAAAACATCAGATCACCTATCGATATTAGCGATGTTGGATATTGTTTTCACAAGATCGGTTTTTTTCTTTATCGATATTTTGAAAATGTGTTCTGTTCTTTAACATCTTACACGAATTAAATTATTAATTAAACATTTATCAAATTCATAGTAATTTTTTCATATAATATATTTAAAATATGTGCATGGCTTCAAAAATCAAAAGTATCGATGTTTAATTCGTGAATCGATAGTGGAAAGCATCGGCTCTAGTGGGACTATTGTGACTTATCCGTAATCCGTGACCTGAGCTTTGTGTGCTTTTATTTTTATTTGAAAAAGATTCATTTGTTAATTTCTAATGTTACTATCACTTCTTCGTCAATTAAAAATAAATAATTAAATTTAAAATATCTATGAATCTTATTATTTTTATAAGTCTTGTTATTTTTATATAAGTAACAATATATATGGCGAGTTTTATGGAGTTGTATTTTTATGATGAAAATGGCTTCACAATTAAAAAATTAAATAAATATATTTAAATTAAAAATATGGTTTTGTTCTTATTAAAAAAATTAATCAAAAATATAACCTTTTCTGTCACAGAAAAAAGTCAAAAACAAATATATATAATATAAACTATTATTTTTCCTTAATTAAAAAGAAAATATATATATATCCTTGTGAATTAGATTAGAGTTTACAACTAACTTGTTGTTAAAATAAAATTTGTAATATACTTTTCAGACCTGTTTATTTTATGGCGGTAATGCTATAATTTATAGCATACAGTAATTTATAGCAGCAGCAAACAATTCGTATTGATGTGGTAACATCATTTATAACAGTGTCCACAAAACTGGGATATAATTTCGAGTTGCCAGATCCACTTGTCAATCAGCTGTTCGGCGGCTTAATAAGAATTCCTTTCAAATCACGTTTTCTCCTTTTCTGATTTTGCTGCGCAAAAAGAAAGTTTAACATTTAATTAAACCATGGAGAGTTATGCCAACGCTCGGCAATTGCTCAAGGAGCCTGTCTCCTTTGCGTGAGTATTGGAATTGAGACATTATAAAACGTCCTTTCACCAGGATGCTTGTTTCTTTCTCCAGCCAACTCGTGGACAAGGGCGTCGAGTTTGAAATGGACATGTCGCATCGCGACTATGACGACGACGACGACGAATTCGAGGATTGCGAGGACTTGCCAGATCCGGATGCTCTTGTTTCGCCCTGGCTGCGTCCCTTTGATGAGCTGCGCGCCCTGATGCAGCCCATCAGCGAGGACATCTACAAGCGGATCATCCGCCAGGGCCATGCAGAGCGTGACCCAGTGCCGGACAAGGCACGCGTCTCGATCCGCTACAGCGGCTACTGGGAGGGCGTTGGAGCCCCCTTTGATTCCTCGCTGCTGCGCGGCACCAAGTTCGAGTTCGAAACCGGGACAAAGATGGTCCTCGAGGGACTGGAGGCCGCTGTGCGTACCATGCGTCCGTACGAACAAGCCGAGTTCATCATCTCGTACAAGCTGCTCTTCCGGGAGCTGGGCTGTCCGCCTCGCATCAAGCCCAAGGCCGATGGGCTCTTCAAAGTGGAGGTCATTGACTATACAATGATCGGAGATGGGCAGGCCATCGATGGCATACCCAAGGAGGATCGCGACAAGTTCTATGTGGTATATCCCAAGGCCCAGGATCTGCATTTGTATGGCAAGGATTGTGTGAAGCGTTCGCGCTTTCGCTGCGCAGCCACATCCTTTGAAAGGGCCATTGAATCGCTGAACTACTGCCGTCTGGCCAACGAAGAGGAGGAGCGCCAGCAGACCGCCCTGCTGCTTACCCTCTCGGTAAGGATTTGCTATTATATTATGGGATTATGATTTATATTCTTTATTTTCCCAGCAAAACCTTATGGTCTGCTACAACAAGTTGAGTCTTCCCCGTCGCGTTTGCATTGTGATGAAGGATGTACGCCGCCTCACTGCCAACGATCCTCCGTGCAAGGCTCTCTTCCACGAGGCTCGAGCCTTGACCTCGCTGGGCGAGTACCAGCGGGCCCGCAAGATTCTAATGCTGGCGCATTCCAAGCAGCCGGCCAACAAGGAGATCAATGATGAGATTGAATGTTTGGATAAACGTATCAACAAGTACGAGGAGGCCAGCCGGGATCTGTGGTCCAAAGCCTTGTGGGGCACAAAGGCCAAGGAATCTCCCCTTATTGCCGAGACCAATGAAGATTCTCTTAAGGAAGCCAAGGACAAGAAGTTCAAGGAGGAAATTGAGGATTTGATTGAACAGTTTAAAAAGTGTGGAAGGACTTCGATGAGTTTAAGCCGCCGGGTGTATTCGAATGCGGAGGTGGAAGTGTTCAGTGATATGGTCAAGGATCACAATATGAAGCTTATGTACTCGCATATTAACCCGGATCTCCTCACCTTGTCAAAGAAGGAGGAAAAGTGATGAAGGGACATAAAAAAGGAATCTTTCTCCAATTGAAGTATTTGGGAATCACCCAGTAAACTTAATCCACCAAATATCAAGTGCCATTAAGACTAGGTTCTAGTAGAACCATAGTTACTTACTATGATCATGTTTTCATTCTTACTAACAAAGAATCTCATTGTTTTGTTACATTTAACACATTCCAATAGAAATCAAAAACGCATATTCGATAGCTATTAAGTTCTTGAAGGACCAATACTATTGTTATTACATTAATTAAATGTAAAACCTTACAAATTAATTCCCCTTTGTTGTATTTTTAAGCTCGAGCTCTTGGTTAAGCTGGCGATGTAGACAGTCCAAGCAGGTGCATCCCTTGTTGTGCTGCAGGACGCTTACCTCCTGCAGTTCAAAGCTGCTCGAATCGAAGGTGGTGACCGTTTCCGATCTAACGAATTTGCAGTACCAAAAGGTGCAAATTAAGAGGCCTTAAATTAGGAGTGAAGTTTGGATATCAGGAAGAAGTTTCTTGTAGCTTAAGACTCACCGATGGAGGCCATCCAAAGCAGGAGCAGCATCAAGGGACAGTAGTAATTGCCCATCACGAACATTTCACCATTGCCAAGGGTTCTGTTGCCTGCATAGGTTTCCAGGACCTTCTCCATGAAGGTATCTCTATAGAGTTGGACAATATCTGACCTATAACCAAGAAGAAACTCAATGGAGGGAATATTTTCGTTGCTCTTTGAATGCTTGCAGTTTAAGAAATGTCCACTGGCTTTGGTCTTTGCACAGCTTAATGCTTTACTTTCTTAAGGAATGGATAAGCAAACAGTTGTTCGGCTACACAAGGTCTTGTTTTTGTAAAATGGTGTGCGTTGTAATAAACAAATATGGTTACTTATGTGGATAAGCCACACTTTAGTAATTAATATAATGTTTTATATATGAAATTATATAGATTTTGTTGTGGGATAGTCTTAAGAATTTGTTTGAACAATTTCAAGTTACAAATATTGCATTAATTGCTTTCTTTTGCCATTAAACCATTTAAAATAAAATAATTTTAATAGTTAAGGTAATAAATCTGCTGAAACTTATAACTAAATCGAATTACTGACACCGTTTTGATTTAACTATATATAATATAATAAATTTAATAAGATTTAATTATTGTTAATTATTTTTGAAAATATTAACATACGCGCCTTACTGCTTACTTCTGTTACTAGTCTGGCAACTCTGCCAACAAAGCTTTTGCTCTCACTGTTACTGTTAACTGTCACTGTTACTGTTAAATAAATTTAAACTGCTTAACTTATCTCAATTATCTGTTTATTGAGCTAATACCAATATCATGGCCCCTATTTTAAATTATCCATTATTACATTAATATTAATATGCCAATTTTACTCTTTAAGTTTACATCGTTGAGAAGTTATTCATTTAACAGTGGAATAACGCAATCTACACCACTGTACATCGTCAACTCAAAAGTTTTGAGCTTTGGCGCCGCTCTTTGGAAAGTCTTCAGATTCTCTTTTTGAAATTCAACGAGTAAGGTTGGTTCGCAGCGGGTCGCGCACAAAAATTAAAACAGCGGCAACAATTCTTTATTGTTCTTAGTGCCCATCGACGACGAAAATATAAAAAATACAACTAAAGAAAGAATGAAAAGGAGAAAACAAAAGAAAAGAACGAAAGCAAAGTCGTTAACAGTGTGTTTGTGCGTGTGTTTGTCTGTTGCGGCTGCATGTGTAGAGGAAATTTGGCAGCAAGCCGCAAAAATATAGCAAAATATTTCAAAAGCATTGCAGAAATACGGGTAAACCCAGCGCTCGCGTGTGTCCCTGTGTGTGTGTGTGGTGTTTTTGTTCTATCAGAATAAAACAAAAATTTGTTGAAATGCCGAACTTTAATCGAAATTAAAACGCTGCACAGCAACAACAATGCCAAAGAGAGAGAGAGAGAGAGCTCTTTCATTGATGCTGTAAACATAACAGCTGATTGGCTCCCCCACTCTCTTTTTGGCTCCGCTCTCTTTTGTGGTGCATTGTGGTCGTTGTTGTTGTTGTTGCGGTTGGGGGAAAATTCAAACGAAATGTTGGCCAAGTTTGAATGGGTGAAAATTGAGAAAACTAGAGAGAACTAGAAAACAAGAATTTGTGAGTGGCCCAGTAACGTGGCAGGTGGAAACTACCAAGAACTAAATACGAAACTAAATTCCGGTCTGTGTCGTCTCACAGTGTAAAAGAAATACAAAACAAAAAAATAAATCTACATAATTTAAATTTGTACAAAGCAACCGGCGGCCTCTTATCGAAGTCATTGAAAAAAACAATCAAAACCTTAAAAAACCAGACGGAAACGACCCGCGACATTGAAGCTAATTCAATTTTAATACACTCGAACTTCAATAATTTGAAATTGTGGTGTTTTCAAGCTTTAATTAGGCGATTTTTTGAGCTCCTTAGTGTCAGGAAGGTTTCTCAGTGTAGAGTTTTGAAGTTAAACTAAGAGTCGGACTTTAAGGGATCACTTAAAGCACTTGTTTTTAAGTAAATTAAGGAGTTGAAAGCAATTTATTAAAGAAAATCACAATTTTCTGTTTTATATATATTTCTGTAACTTAGTTTTTATAATTTTTCCACTTGAATTTCACTGAAACTTAAGCCTAAACTTTTCATTTGTAGCTTAAAAAGCATTTTAAAGTTTTAGTAGCTATAGATTTTGAAAAAAGTACCCAAAAAATCTGCTCACAGCTTCTTATATTGTTTTAAAAACTTTATTTCTGTTCAAAATAATTTAAAATTGTATTAAACAGAGTTTAGATAATTAAATTAGCTTTCTTTACTTCGGTTTTAATTAGGACAAAAATAATAAACCAGACTTCTAAAGCAACTTAGTTCAAGAAAAAGCCTAGAATTTTGAACCCAAAAATATTTATTTTAAAATCTGGGAATCCATAGTCAAGTTTTTTCGACTAAAACCAAGGTTTATTTCTATGTTTATTAAATAAAATGAATAATTTTTAAAATTTTGAAGCATCTTTTAGACATATTTCAAGGCTACATATCTTGTTTTAACAAAAGATCCATTGTATCTTGTATCTTTTAGTTAATTTTACGGAAGTTTGTAAAATTCTTCACACGTCTACTCGCATTGCCTCGCTCTTCTCCCCCTTTTCGTTGTTCACCGATTGCCCCCTCCGTTTGTCGTCATCTTCGCAACGAACAGGGTGGCAAAACAAAAAAGCAAAAAAGAAACAAAACGAAAAAGAATCTTTGTATCTGCTGTCTCGCTCGAAACGAGAGGAAAAGAAGCAATAATTAATTAATTAATAATAAATTATTAAACGGAACGGCATTATTTTACTAAACGAGAATAATCGGCAGCGTTTTGATTAATTTTATAATTTGTGGGCATTGCAACGAAATTTTTACACCTTAATTAAAATTAACGTGGCCTTAAGAATTCGGTCAATCGTGTGAGTAGAGCAAAATATTACAGTAAAAAATATACAACAAAAATAAACAACAAATTACATTTTGTTTACTACTTTGTGTGTGCCAAGCTTTTTCACCCATTTCCCTGAATCAAGTTTTCCCCTTTTATTGATTTGCATTTTGCACTTTCATATACGAAAAAAATATAGCAGAGAAATTTTTGGAAACCTTTTTTTATTTCCACTCACGTGCGTACCCCTATACAAATTCCACCCGCAAAAAAAAAACACATAATTAAAATGAATATATACAAATATATACATAAATTTATAAGCTTCTTGTCACTAATCAATCACCGGGCATTAAATTCCCCTCTCCACACCTGGAAATCTAAAAAACACAGGGCTGAAAAACAACAGAAATAATACTACAAACATTGCGGTTACGGTTTCAAATTCCTTTTAAATAATGCAATTTATATATATTTTTACTTCTACGAAACAACGCAACACCACATCCTGCTGCTCAACTATAAAAAAAACATACTACAAATTGCGTTGCATGAAACGGTGAGTGAAAAACAACCCCTCTTTCCCTGAACCCAACCCCCCTTTTAAGGATAAGCTTAGTCCTGGGCTTGGTTTCTGGTTATTCTGGGTGTGTTCCTTTAATGGCTCTATGAAGACGTTCCTTAGCGGCGATCCTTTGGGTTGATAAAAGTTGGAAAAGTGCGTGTTTTGCATTTGCCAACCCTCGATTTTGCTTCTAGCTGCGTATTGTCTGACTCTCTCTCCAGTGAGTCCTCCGTCCTTGGTCCTTGGCAGCCACCCCCCCAAAAAAAACCACAGCGAGGAAACTGTGTCACAGGCCGTTGGCGCTGCAAAGGCTAAAGGGAAAATAGGCAAGGCGAAAACTCAGGCACTGGGAGAAATAATATAGATTATATTCTACTATAAACATATATATTCAAATATGACTTTGAGATAGTGGAAGTATTTAAGGCAGAGAAATCCTTAAGATACATTTGTATCTATAACATATTTTATAGAGAATGAAAATATTAATATTTTTAGCATGGAAAAACTTAGTTTATGTTAGGCTAAACTATGTCTAAATCTTCAATTTTTAATAATATTTAAAATTTACCAAGTTTATTTAAAGTTAAACCTCTTAAAAATATTTATTTAACCTGAAACTAGGTCACCTTTTATTGTTATTTTTCTTTGGCATTACAAACCATTATTTTTTGCCCTATGACAGCTGCATTTTCCGGCCTCACCCTAACGGTTCTGCCACCCAACTTTTCCTCCTACTCTCTCTTCCTCTCTCTCTCTCTCTCTCGCCGCATCCTTTGCCGGTCAAAGCTTTTCCCCATTTTCACCCATTTTGGCAGAAGCTTTCTCCATGGAAAATAGAATGTGATTCGTGTAAACAAACATGTAGTTTTTTTTACGATTTCCCTGAGATTTTGTTGGCTGGAAACAAGACGCGTTGACAAATCAATTCCAAAAAGGAGCCTTAATAATTTACACGTTGCTGGGGGCAACCTGGGTCCTTAACAGGGTCCTCAAGTGTGGTCAAAACAATTGGCCTCAGGGTTCAAATGCCCTTCTTTCTCCCTCTCTCTCTACCGAGTTTATTTGCAGGCCAAGAGGGGGAGATAAGGATGGGTAAGGCGGGTGGAAAATCAATAATTTTCCTTGGAACCTGAGATGCGTAATTCTCTCGACTGTCCCCAATCGATATAATGGGGGTACTCGGATCGATAATAAACAAGTTTCCCCATACTTTGGGGCCAAAGTCGAAAGGTTTCCCGAAACTCGCACTGTGTGTGTGTTGTCTGGCTTGTGTGTAAAAATTGTTTTACTGCCTGTGAACTTTGCCTTTACAACTCAACTTAAATTGTATAAGCTGCATCACGCAATTGTTTTTCCCCCCTTTTTCTGGTCGTGTTTGACCTCTGACGTGGTCTCTGTCTCTGTGTTGCGTGCTCAAGAGAAACTTTGGCAGGTCACCACTGCGTATGCTTAATGTCTTTGGATTTAGCTGCAAAAATATCAAGCATACGCCCCGTCTGCGCTCGCTTGTCATTTCCCCCTTTTTGCCAATACCAAAAATAGACCAACCTTGACACTTTGGAATTGCAAAACGAGAAACGCAAAACCGAAGTTCATTCGCTTTCAATATCTCGGCGGCAGCTAATAGAGTAATCGAGTAATCGAGCTAAATTAAATGCAATTTCATTTCAGACACGGCATTTTTAGTAGAGCTTTCTTGAAGCAAAGCAAAAAAAAAAAAAACTAAAAAATTGGTTTAAATTTTCTAATAAGCAGTAGGAAAGGAAATATCAATAGGAGAGCTAAATGATGTAGTATTAAGAGTTCAAAACCAGTTGCTAGGAATTAAATTTTGTACTTATTTGTCAAAAGATAATTACCTAGAGTTTAAAGGTTTCTTGTTCTGAAGTTAAAGGGTATAATATATTTAAATATAATTGTATAGAGCACTTAAAATCAAAGATATATGCCTTTAGAAAATATTAAGACTATTTAAATTGAAATTGAAAAGTTTAATAGCCTCTCTAATTAAAATTTTATATAAAAACCATTACTCCTAGCCGGAATGCAATTTTCTGGGGGTAATTTCAATTATAATCCTTATATATATTTATAATATTATACTCTTCAAGTAAAACTCATACTTTTATAGTTCTTTAAACACTATAAACTTGCTTTAATTATTTAAATTTAGCATACAGATAAAACGCAAAGCGAAAATACCATTACATCTTTCCCAGATTATTTTCCTTAGTATTTTCTATTTTTCCACAAATCCTAAGCTCTAATGCCTTATCAACTAGAATAAAACATAAAGAAATGTAAAAAATATATGCAAAATATAGCTGAGAAATGCAAATAAGAAATGACATCATCGGGGGACTCAAGCTTCAGGCATTTGGTGAGTGTGTTTGAGGCGTGTCATCATTTTAGACATATTTTATTGACCCATTAAGGGGGGATATAGCCCCAAAGATAGCCCTGGCCTGTTGCTATCTCTGGCCAAGTTTGTGGACAGATTCATATCGGCAAACAATAACCATTCATTAAAGCAATTAAATGTGATAGAGAGGCGAAAGGCACTGATAAGATAAGATGACTCAGGCAGTATTTTGATTCGATTATTGTTTATTTACGTACACCTTGTTAATCATAAACCCTTTTATTATTATTTATATTTATTAAATATTTATTTTATGTGACGACCTTCAGGCCTGTGGTTTTTTTTTGTTTTAATCCGAATGCCTGGCTTGACTTGTCTGGGATTGGATTGGATTGGATTACCCAATCTCTATTTTTAGCTCGTGGCGTGGTAAACGGAAATCATTTTCAATATTTATTTGCATTTGAATGTGATTAGCAATGCGCACTTTGTGTGCATTTCAAGTGTGTTTGCTCAGTGAATAACTCTATGTCTCAAAAAAGAAGAAGAAAGAAAACATGTTAAAAGAATGCCTGGCAACAGGTGACGCAATATGCCAGAGGCTTTCTCTTTGGGTCTGGGGCCATCCAACCCATCAACCCATCAACCTCTGACCTCCCCTCTTCGGAGGTGCAATTAAAACGGAAGTACTGCTAGCAACCTGTTGCCGTTTCTTGCCCAAGCCCAAAGACCGCCCGGGCTCATTAAATTCGAGCTTGGGAAGTGGGCTGGCCCAGTCCGGCCATTGGCCAATAGTTTGCATGTTGGCATTAATTAAGCTTCAGGCCCAAACCCATGCGACTCTTCTGGGAATATGAACCATGTTTATTACTCCACGAATATTACTCCATGAAAATTTGCAGAACGTCGTCAAAGGTTGCAAGGGAAAATATGGAATTACAGAGGCAGAAAAGAGGTTTAAGTTAGAGGTTTATCAAGGTAAAATATATAGTTATTTAGGGTTTAGTTTGGGCTTTTAAAAAAGCTGATTTAATATCTAGAGAATACATACAAAATGGTTTATAATATAGATTGGTGTTATGACTTTTTTTGTTATCGAAAAAACCTTGAAATCATTTTGGAAAATTGCATTTGTACATGCCTAAATTATTGCTTTAAAAGCATGCTAATTATTAACTGAATTCTTTATTATATTAATGATGTCATGTACGAAATGGTATATATAATTTAAAGTTAAAATGAAACATTTGGTTGTCATTAGATTCATTTTATAAATGTTTGTTTCGGAATTTTTTGAATAATCATTCTAAAATATATCAATTGAGACTTACTACCTAAAATAAGCAATTATTGAGTTCATAAAGAAGAAAATATGTATCATATTATATTAAAAATAAAATAGATACTTAAAGAAATATATTTCCTACTTTCAAATGTATGTTTTTCTTTTGGAAAACTAAGTTTACTTATTAAAAATATATTTATAAAGTGATTGTAATATTTTAATCTCCCCAGAAAACCCCCTAAGATTTAATATGCAGACATGATTCAAGCTCTAATTATAGGCACAAGTCAATCATTTCTTTGGGGAGACTTTCCCAAGGATTGAGCTCTTTGAGGCGACACTTTTCCCACACACACACACACACACACACACACACACAGTACCGTTAGATCGCGGGTTGTCAATCAACGATGGGAACATGTGTACCAAGTACCAACTGATTCTTTTCGCTTTGCCAATGGTTAAAAATATCCGCGAGTACTTGTTGCTCTCGTAATCGCCCTCTCACTTGCAACGCCCCCCCTTTCCCTTGATTTTCCCCACCATTTTCCCCCCCTCTGGTTTTCCACATTTGGCGAGGGGTCAATAGACGAGGCAGTGGTGTGGCTGAGAATGCTTGAAAAGTGTTTTGTACTTAGTAGCTTGAAGGGAAGAGAGGTAGAGAGAGTGGCATGGTGGAAAGGCAAGGCATTTCCAAGTGGAAAATCAGCGGCGCAGAAAGCCAAAAGAATGTAGTTAATACACTGGCATTAAATAGTTTAAAAAGGTGGAAAATTAATTAAAAAATAGTATAGAAATGCGGAATATGGAATGTAATCTTGAAGGGGTTTTAATTTTAGTCAGAAGCTTGTAACTCTGAAAATAATCATTTCCGACCCTATAAACCATATATATTCTTGATCAGCATCGAAATCCGAGTCGATCTAGCCATCTCCGGAAGAAAAACAAATGCTAAATTTTTTCAACATTTTTTAACATTGAAAAATAAAACTTTGAAAAATTGATAAAAATTAAAATTTTTTAATACTTAAATTGAGTATGCAGATTTATGAAAATTTGCATGGGAAAGCTTTCCGAATTAAAATTAATACATTTTTGACTTAGTTATGAGATTTTTTAACTTTGATTTTTCCAAATAATTGTTATAAAATATAATATTTTATATATATATTTTAATTTCTCCCTCTATAAGTCAATCCTATTTTCTTTCTCTGCACAATTGGCGTGCGTTGTCTTGGGAAAAAAGGAGGAAAAGTGGGGATAAAACCAACACAGCTTTTGAAAATGATATAAAACAGATAATCTCCAACATAAATAGCGCTTTTGTTATTGTTATTGTTTCCTCTGCTGCTGATGCTGATGCTTGGCTCATTTTCGCATTTTCGCATTTTCCGATTCAAGATTTTTGCCAACACGAGGGCACGAACTGAACAGTGTTTTCTATTTGTATTTTCTTTTTCTATATATTAACTTGCAACAAGTGCAATTTGCCTTGCAGAACACAAACAAAACAAACAGAACACAAATGTTGTACAAGTATTTCTCTTCATTGAATGCCAATTCTCTCGAATAGTTTCTAATAAATCTGTGTGAAAGGTTTCTAAAAATAAAAAGCATGCACACATTATAAACAATGAAGAAGTCGCATATCTTACGTCATTTCTGTGTCGGAAAAATCAGACACACAACTATGACGTCAATACAATGGCCCAATAAATGCCAGAAGAAGCATGGAAAAAAAGTCTTTGGGAAGTCACGAAAATGCGATGAGAAAACAAGTGTTCACGAACCACAGGCGCCGGCGCAGATACTACTTATATCTGTATCTGTAGAATCTGCAGTATCTGCGGTATCTGTAGTATCTGTAGCATCTGAGAATGCCTCTCACTTTGGAGAGCATTGGTTTTTCCCCCAAATGAAAAGATCCAATTGGTGTTCGTATTTGCAGGCAGCTCATTTCAGTTGAGTTTTGTTTCAGTTCGGTTCGGTTCTGTTCCGTTTTTTTCCTTCTTCATTTATTTATTTATACTAGGAAAATATTTAAAGAATATTTTAAATAACATAAACATTATATTGGTGTCTAATACTAAACCCGAATATATCTATATATATATATTTAAACGTATTTAACCAACTTGAACCCAATATTGTGAATTTCTGTGAGTGAAAAACGTTTCATATTTTTCCCAAATGAACAAATTCTATAATTAGAACGAGTTGAGGATCTTTCATGGCTGTGCCCCGCCGACCCGATACAGAAAAATATCTCTCGCCAAGATGAGAGAGCCACCACTACCATCATGGGCACCTTTTGACTAAATCGTATCCCCCATCCATCCGTTTTGTATCCCACAGAACTATCAACGAACCACGACGACAATGCCGACTATCTGTGGGATTAACGCTCACTGGAACTGAACGATGGATCTGGCAGATCAAATCGATGACTATATCTGTTCGTTCGAGGGAATTGGTGACTTAACAATGGACTCTCTGGCCATCTTCATTTTCCTGTGGGCCGTTCTGGCCCTCTTCTCCGTCTGGCTGATCAAGCTCCTCTACCACAAGTATCTCAACAAGGCCAACAAGTCCCCCAGTGCGGCCAATAGTCGCCAGAGTAGTGTGGCTCCCGGTTCGGGTTCCGTTTCGGGATCCCCAACTGGCAAACCAGAGAAGCGTCTCTCGGAACCGCGTGATTTGCTGGCCACCAAGAGCAAGGTGGAGGATCTATCCAAGCCACTGGCTGGTGGCATTTCATCTGGCGGACGTGGTCGCTCCTCCGCTTCGCCCCTGAACTCCGCCGGATCCTTGGGTGCCGCTGGTGCTGGAGCTGCTGGTCCACGTCGCCGGGTGGTGCGTCAGAGTTCCACCGGGCCGGAGAATCGCAAGAAGCGATATGTTCCACCGCCCTCCAATGTCGTGGGTCCGGAAACGGTGAGTATACATATCAGTGTGATAAGTTCTAGAGTTCAGTTTGGTGTTTAATAGGGGAAAAACATAAATAGAAAATTATTTTAAAATAAGTTCTGGGTCGGGGTAATTTTATTTTGAAAAGTTTCAAAGTTTAAATTGATTATAATACATTTCAACCAAGCATAAACAAGGTTGTTATAATTATAAAGTAATTTAAAAAAACAAGGTTGTCATAATTATAATTATAATGTTATTATCATGACCTTTGATTTATTTACTTTGTTGTTGATAACGTTTTTAATATATTTATTGCTTTTGTGGGGTAAAAGTTTGTTTATTTATGTACTAAATATTAAATTTTAATCAAAGAATACTTTAATGTTTATAACCTTAGTGTACAGTAAAAAGCTTAAAACTCTGTGAAGGAAACATTTCCGACCATATAAATCATATATATTCTTGATCAGCATGAACAGCCGAGTCGATCTAGCCATCTTAGACAGAATTAAAAATTTTTCAAATTTTTTCAACATTTTTTAAGGGTTTAAATCGTTAAAATTGCCAAAAAAAATTTATAAAAATTTTAATCTTGGTAAATCTTGTAATTAAGTATGCAGATTTATTACCCTAATAAAAATTAGCATAGGAAAGTTTTCTGAAATAAATTTAATGCGTTTTTGGCTTAGTTATGAAATTTTAAATATTTGATTTCTAGAAAAAATTGTCATATAAAAATATTGTTTCAAAGAATGCGAATATTTTAAGCTTAGCTATGATCGATTTTCAATACGATCCTTTAATTCAAGGGAAGAGTATATAAACTTCAGCTTCCCGAAGTTAGTTTCCATTTTTGTTCTGATTTTGAATGGATAAATAATTAATTAAAATTTATTTTAATCAAGTTCTTAGTTCATATTTTGATTTAAAGTTAATTGGGATAAAGAATTCAGTGAAAGGCAAGATAAATCTTAACTTGAAACATGCACCTAAAGCTTAGATCTGTTTAAAACAAATACAAAATACTTCAAAATAAATTGTGAGGCTTAAAAAATGGTTTTAGCTCTGTTAAATAAATCAAAATAAACCCAAATAAATTTCAAATAATTCTAATGAATATAATATCTTATTAATCTTTTTCAGAGCTCTGTTACCTGGACCAGCCAGGTGTTCCGCTGGCTCTACAGCGACCTGGTCATCGTCAACGAGCTGCTCATGTCCTGGGTGATTGCCATCAATGACACGCTGCGCAAGTCCGTCGAGGAGGTGAGTTGGTTCGCCAAAAAACCAAAACATGACATCAGACAGAGCAGATAGTTCCCGGCTCCCAGCTTTGACATCATCATCGCCATCACCATCATCCAGACGGCCCACACGGCTTTGATGTCATGGCTGAGCTTGACTCGGCCATCGGTCGCTGAACTTTGTTCTTGGCCCCCGTCGCCACACGACATTCAACTTGAAATCGATGTTCGGCAACTTGGCTTCCACCTCGGATCCCCATTCTCCTACAAAAAGCGATCTGGCGAGCCGGCGAGCTGGGAACTCGCTCAGCCGTAACTGATGTCGAAACGCGTTTTTGCTTTTTCTATACCCTGTAGTTGGTTGAGTAAGAGAGTGATGATTAATTGATGCAGGGGCAGGTAAATCGAGAGTTGAAAGGTCTGATTGTATCTGAAGTTTCCATTAAAAATTTACCTTGTAGCTTGTAGTTTGTATCTTCCTATTAAAAGTGAACCTTGTCCGTCAGTTTGTTGTCCGTTAATAGGAATAAGCACCTAAATCTGAGAGACTATATAAGCTACAGCTACCAAATTTGGTAAATACATTCTTATAGGTAAAAGGCATATCCAGTATATTTTTCAATTTTAACCATGCCTTCTACAACCCGTAAAAAGCATATCAAATTAATTTTTAATAGTGTGGAATTTATTTTAAAAACAAAATAGGTGATAATACTCCATGATAAATATGGTATTTGTATATTCTTTTATTGTCTTTAATATATATTTACATGTAGAGGGTATAAAATAAGTTCATACCCTCTAGAGAATACCTTTCTTGCTCTCCACTGATTTTATTTTTTATCGCCTTTTACGTGCTCGAAGCCATTCAGAGGCCAAGGTCGCGGCATCCAACCAATCGTTAGTCATTATCCCGTCTCTGAATTGTAGCCCCAAAAATGTTTTGCTGCTGAATTACGTAATGCGTGATTAATCTTAAACTGAAAGGAGCCAAGGAGCCCAGCTGCTCCAACAGGTTTTTATTTCTGCTCTTCCAATCTAACCCGGTTCTTTCCCTTCTTTTTTACAGCATGGCGTGGCCGTGGAAGTGGTTCGCGTTCTGCCCGATAGCCCAGCTCCGGGATTAAATAATATCTTTTGCAATTGCGATGAGAACAATCCAGCTGATATGGTAAGTAATTGCAAAAGGAGATACCCTTCGTTTCATTTACTATAATAAAGTGAGTTCCCTTTGTGGCCCCCACAGCTCATCACCTTTGACTGCGATGCCATGCCGGTGCTGCAGGTCAAGACGTTCCGTCAGAAGGCCGGCAAGGTGGAGACCTCCCATTACAAGGTCACCGTGTCCAGGTTCCGAGCTCGCATGGCCATACCCATGAACTACAATACCCTGAAGGGCGAAATGCGAGTGGAGGGTTACCCAGATGTGAGTGAATCTTAACTCTGTGAAATATATTTTATTAATTTATTTAATATTTTTACAGGTACGCATTGCCATGAACAGTGTGGGTGCCATCAAGGCAATGGATCAGGATGAACAGCAGCTGCAGACAGTGATCAGTGATATCCTGACGACGGCATTGCGTGATACCATCTATCCGGTGGACTTCTCCATCTACTCGACTTGCCCCCGGGCCGAAGTGGAGCCTTTGGAGCTGCCTGTAATCTATCCCGTCCACTATGACTCGCTGGCGGTGAGCGTCGGGGGGAGCAGTGAGAAGAACTGTCGGCTCCTTCTGTTGTGTTTATGTTACACCGTTCTCTGTTCTCTGTTCTCTGTGCTCCTTTTGTGTCCTTGTCATTGCAAAGAAAACAACACACAGAACTTCATCAGAGACTCTTTGTAAAAAGAAAGACAAACAAACACTTCTCATTGCTCTCGACCTTCGCCACCTTCTCCCCCCTTGTGTTTTATGGAATTCGCCTTTTCTCTATATCTCTCAGAACTCAGTACTTCAACACAGTCACATTTCCCCCAGTCTCCCTGTGAGAATCCATCCTGTCCTCGATCGATACCCTGAAAGTAAAAAGAACTCTCTTTGCTCTCTCTTATTTCAGGGCAACCAATACTTTCAATATTATTACAATTTCTAAGTGACTGTCTCTCGCATTAGTTCGTTTCCCCCCGATTAAAAGGCGAATTTCATGAGCTCCTTCCACCTGACTTTTGTCTCTATCTCTGACCCCTCCCCGAATCTTTCTCTCTCTCTTCTCTGTCACTCATTGCATGATGGTTGTCCTCCTCCAACCCACACAGCACAACATGGAGCATCATCTGAGTGGCGGTGGACTAAGGGACTCGCAGCACTTGGTCGCCGGCCGAAGGCTCCTCGTGAAGATTGTCAAGGGTGAAGGCCTGAGGGATGCCCATGATCCCTATGTGGTCATCGAGATGGATGAGCCGGCGCAGAAGAACCAAACGGGCACCCAGCGTGGCACCAAGCCCTACTGGGATGAGCACTTCCTCTTGTAAGTCTCTGAGAAATCAAAGATCTGGCATTATCCTAACTAATATCCTTCCTTTCCATAGCGAACTCTCCCCACAATCAGCTGAGATCCTGTTTGAGGTTTATGACCATCCGGTTATAGCCTCCGATCCGCCCAAATTCCTGGGTCTCGGCCTGGTTGGCATCGATGAGCTGGCCGTGGGTCCTGCCTCCACACAACTCCTGCAGCTGCAGCCACGTCCCTATGAGACTCAGCCCGTTTCCGGTGCCATCACCGTGGACTTTGTGTTCATCGAGGGTGCCGAGATCCCGGCTGGAGTTCGTCCTCAGCGCCTGAAGGAGGCTTTGCGTCTCAGCACGCCGGCCATTAACGAGCACATCCGGAACGGTGCCGACCTGGCGGATGCGGCCGTTAGGGCTCTGCAGGATGGAGCACTCTCAAACACTAGCAGCGGTGGGCAGCCCAGCAAGAGCACTCTGATCATACACAGTGTCCAGCGGGTGAGTGGTTAGGGATCAAGAAAAAGTACATGAGATATAGAGGAATCTATATATATCATGTTTATATTTTTTTATCATATTAATTAAGATATATTTCTTTTTAAAGTTCCTGAATTTTAATTGATTCCAAATCTCTCTAGACAAAAATTATAATATATCTTATATTATTTTGACTTCTTAAATTTATATTTCAATAATTTTTATAATCAACAACCTTTCATACATTTCGTACCCCATTTTCTATATTCATTTTATAATTTCCTTTATTTCTCTTTTCGTTTAATTTCATTCCATTTCCGTCTCCGATCCCGAACCAGAATTCGACCGGCCCGAATGCATTTAAGGTAATCTCCTCCACTGATCCTGGACATCTATCGCTCTCCTCGAGCTTTCTTTACTATTTTTTATATGAGTTATATCTGAGTTACTGCGTCTCTAATCCCGCCGCCCATCATGACGATTCCATTGATCATGAACAGGCCCAAAAAAAATGAAGTAGTGTCTAAGCCAAGTTAATAACATAAAACTGTTTCTTGTTCTGTTTTGCTCCGCCTAACCCCCAACAAAAAATAAAAATGCGCTTCTTTAACCGAAAATGCAATGCGACCTCAGGTCGAGGTCAACAAGGAGGGTCACATCGAGGTGATCCAGTCACCGAGCGAGCTGGATCAGACGGTGGCCCAGGCCTTTGAGCGGGCTGCCAACGAGGCCCAGGCTGAGCTTGAGCTGGAGAAGGCCAAGCTGGAGTTGGAGCCCGGTCAGGGTGACACACTCAACGACTCAGGTAATGGTACCGTCAACGAGGACAGTGTCGCAGAGGTGAGTACAAAGGCTGAGTTTTGTTCGAGGCATGGCATGCAGTTTGGAGTTACAATTTCTAGAGGAGATTCCCTTACTGAAATATTGTGTGACTTACAGTTTGGTCAGCCCAATGCCGCCTCATCGCCCAATGGCAGTGGTTATGGCCACAACAACTATAGCCTCAATGGGAATGGCAACTCGGGAGGAGGTGGTTACAACAGCCTGCCCAGGAATGGTGCCGCCTCGCATCAGCAGATGGGTCATCTGAATGCCGGCCTAGTACTCGATGGCCAGGACGTGGTGGATGCGGATCGTGGAAGGAGCAAAAAACGTAATTTCTTTGGCACCCTGAAGAAGCGGCTAAGCCGCTCCAAGACACGTACCCTCTCGGCCGATCAGCCCAATAATAATAAAAATAGCAGTCATAAGTCACTATCAGCCACCAACTCGAATACAGCGACCACAGCCACCGGATATCCCCGTACAGCCACCGGAACCCTCAATGGTGATTCTTCCCGTTCATTATCTGTCGATCGTGCCACTACTCTGTCCAAAAGCAATTCACTTGGTAATTACCGCCCCCGTATCACTGAGTCCACGCCACGCCATGTTGTCCACGTTTTATAACCAATTCCTTTGAGTCCAGCTTAACGCACTTCTCTTTTTCCCCTTTTTTTAATGGACAACAAAACGATCTCCTGCTAATTCCGCTTAAAGCCATCATCATGCGACATTGGGACATTCATCACATAATAATATCTCATTAGAGATCATTATCATAACGAGTCCTTTAATATCTTTAAGGCAGCTCTGCACTGTATTCTTTTCGTATTAAGGCTTTGAAATTAGTTAATTTCTTTCTTTACTATTTATTACTAACTTCTGTAGAGGATTTACTATACTTCATTTTATACTTACCCTATTAATATTTTTCTTTTTAAATATAACCAAGATAGTCTCCCTTCCAAAACTCCATTCATTTCAAATTCCATTTCACCTTTTACTTAATTAAGTATATGTAGCTTTTCTCCCTAAATGTATTCATAAAGACTTGAGCTTATTGTACTTCCTGAAGCTTGATCTTTAATCGCAATGTAATCTCTTTCAACATATATCTGTATCTGTATCTATATCTGTTGTTTGTTTTATCTTCTCTCCCCCTCTAACTCACTCTTTGTATCCATCAACTGCTAACTTGAACTGTGACCCACGACACGAATCTGTATGTATTCCATGGTTCCCACAAAAACTGAACAAAAAACCACAAAAATACTACAAAAACACATTTGCATTATTTTTAATATTTATATATTTTGTATATATTCGGCTTTAATTTTTGGATTTTTGGTATTTGAACGGCCTCTTATTATGTATTAAATATAAATTTACATTTAATTTAATTATGATCTCCACTCACACTTTTCATATTCTTTTCTTTTTCGTTTACTTTCATATAAAATAAATATGATTTCGATGGGTCTAACTGGGTGCTTGGTTCGTGTGCCACTCTTACACTAAAAATAAAAATAAACAATAAAAACGCAGGACCCCGCATGGGCATTGGTCACTCCATCACCGACCACTCACGCCGCTCCTCAATTTCAGAATCATCGGCCATCTCAGGTTTCTCCTCGGCCAGCAATAAGACCTATGTGCACGAGGCCTCCACCTTGGTGCTGGAAACGGTAGAGAATGGCATCAAGCGGTGAGTTTTCTTGATTTTTTATAGATTTAATTTTCAATTTAATAAATAAATGTATTCCTTAGCCACTTTATTGTGCCGCTGGCCATTGCCCAGAGACCGCGCTGGCGTCGCAAGGGTACCAAGCTGCACATTTACAACGATCACACCTTCATCGCCAAGCATTTGAGCGGGTAATAATTATATTACAAATAATTACAATTAGAAATAAAATATTAATTTAAAACATTTATTAACAGAAGCGGCCTGCAGTGCTCCATCTGCATGAAGTCCATACCACGTAGGCCCGGCAAGCAGGGCTACGAGTGCCGCGACTGCCAGCTGATCTGTCACAAGCAGTGTCACATACGGGCGCCCCAGTCGTGTCCCAATCCCACGGTGCTCTCCATGGAACTGTAAGTTGATACAGAAAACCCCCAGCTTAAAGGTTTTATAAGGTTTAAGGTGCATAACGCACATACACTTGCTATTTCGCAAGAGAAAGGATAGCATTCAAGTGGCGTTACGCGTCTTGTAGCTCTCAAAGTCCTTTATCCAGGACATAACAGCTTTTCTCAAGACCCTCTATCTGCCTATAAATATCCCCTTGATACTAATTTATTGCTTTCATTTTATATTTTTCTCTTTCCACACACACATACACACAAAATACACGCACACCCTACCTACCTACCCAACCGAACACACTCCAAAATAGAACGTCATTTCCGGTACTCACAGAGAGAGATCTGAACTTAGTTAACTAAAAGCCTTATATACATTTTCTTCTTATTTTGTAATCCAAATCGCCTTGAGTCCTCCAAATGCAGTTTGATATATTTACCAAAGGAGCACAAATTTGATTTTGATTTATCTTTTCGAAAGAAGTGGCTTTGTTATCTTGGCTTTCGCTAAAGCATCCATCCTATATCTATACATTTATCAATCCGCTTCGTTGCCATATTTTGTATATATATTTGTCTGTCTGGGCACTAATTAGAGCTCTTTTCTCACCGCATTAAACTCATTAAACACAGGATGACAAGTGAGGGGTAGTCGAGGTCTCGGCGCACACAACAACAACAAACCAACAAAACCAGCCACCACAGCACTTTTTTAGACCATTAAGAAAAGTCATTCTAAAGAGAAAAAAACAGCTCTCCCAGCACACAGTTTCTACTTCTACGACCAGGGTTTCCTTCTTAGATTTTCTCACTTGTTCGGCTAAAGTTCGGGCGAGGTTCGAGCGTTTCTCAGTTGAGCTGGGAAATCGGGGTAAGCCACGCATGCGCATGAAGTTCCTACTTGTTCTGCTGCTGCTGCTGCTGCTGTTGCTGAAATTCCACTGTGTTGTGTACTAAATTAACACTCTTAAACCAAAGGCAATTTAAGGAATAAGATGCATTACGCATCTTATGTCTAAATTTGCTCTCGCTTAAGCCCGTTTTTCCGACATTAATTCCCCTTTCGTTGCGTTTGTTATTCTTAAAGATTTGGCCTTAACAAAAGAGTTTGAAGCTTTGTTTATTTTTATTGTTATTTTACATTACTTTTGCCCTTTAACAATTCTTTTGAATATTAATACATAATATTAATTTATTTCCACAGAACCAAACTTAGCTCGGCGGCGGCAGATCGCAGTATACGAAAGCTGTGAGGGGAATCTATCTAGATCCCCACAAACCGAGAAACCTTAATCGAAATACTACTCCTAGTTTGAGATTAGAAGGATCCTTTTTCTTCTGTTGTGGAAAGCCCCCAATATCCGATACACTACGTTATTTATTTATACACACACACGAACCCACATACACACCATGTGCAATAAGTTCTTTGGTTTCGTTTTTTTAATACCAATACCAATACCAATTTCTCTGTGTCAACGTGCTGGAGCCCATTGATATTTTTTTGTATTTTCTACAAAACACGAATAATAATTGTACAAAAATAAAAGCGAATTAGAGGTTTTTTTAAATGAATTAAAAAGGTTTAATATGCGATAATTCTAAAAAGGAGATCTAACATAACCAATGCCCATAGTGACATATGGACTAGGCCGATTTTGGGCCTCTGGTTCATCCAGCTTTTCATTTGAAGAACTTGCTGAAACAGTAGATGGTGTTGGAGACTGTGAAAGATATTCCTCATCAGGCGGAGCTTCTTCCTGTTCGACTGAACATTCCCTGGTCAGTATGTCGATGGTAAGCACACCTTTTGGTGAAAAGTTTCCCGGCACAACGATGGAGACAGGTGGGTCAGGAACAGAGATCTCAATATCCACAGATTTAAATAGAATGGGTGGCAGGGAAACCTCGATATTGGCCATCTTTCGTAGTTTCCGAAAGGACACAAAGCTCAAAGAAAGTAGTGTGACCGCGGAAATTATAACTGAAATAACCTGTATTAAACTCAGACCCATAGTCTTTATCACTTCCTTGGGATCACTTGGAAATCCTGCACCGATCCACCTCATGCCGCCACTTGGTACATCCTTGTAAGTGGCTACCACACCCATATTGGACAGAAGCATCGATTGGTTGAACTGAAAATGAAGCTGGGATCCTTGAACCATCTCAAGGCTTATGGACTCTTGATCGTTGCAGATCTGATATCGGCTTGTTGAACCCAGGCACCAGGAGATGGCGTAGCCAGTAAGTCCTTGCTGTTCCTCTGGAGCCTGCCAGGTCAAAGTGTAGTTATCCTCGTGGTACCTCAACCCCAGTGGCTGACGGGACCCGGAGAGCAGTATGGGCACCTCCAACCAATTGCTTTTCGTCGAGGCTCCCACAGAGTTCTGGCTCCAAACGTATATGATGGTAGAGAGTGTGGGATCCCAATCGTTGAAAAGGACGCTATTGCTGTCGATGGATGATGGCTTCTTGCTGGTAACAGAAATGTGCAAATTAAATCCCCTTAAAGGATATCGAGTTCCAAACTAACCCAGAGTCCGTAACTGCGGCATACGTAAAGTTGGGTCCGTTGAGCTCCACGTCGTTCAGCTGCCGCCAAAAGACATAAAGCTCCTTCTTCTCCGGATCGTGATAGAATCCATTGGGTAGTAAATCCGGCGGTCGAGCAGGAATATCAGGAATGCTTATAATTTCCCTGGTTTCAAACTCTGTTGACCAGGGAGCTCCGGTTACATTATATCGACGCCTGAACCGGAAACTGTAGACCTGGTTGGCAAATGGCAGCCGAGGCAAACAGAATTCTTGACCAAACATGGGAGTAACACGAATTTCAATCAAAAGAGGCTTGATCTTTGCGTTTCCGGAATGAATCTCAATTCTCCAATTTTGTGAGACCGCCACAGGAGAACTGTGATCTGTGTGCGTCCATTTGATGCAGATCTTTGAGCTGTCCTGTTTAAATTGCGGCTGGGTCATGGGCCAATCTGGTACCGTGATTCCCCTGAGGGTCATGGGGAACACCTGCGTCTGGTTATGTCCCTCGTATTCCATTAAAAGTTGGATCTGGTGGTTGGGCGCATACTTGGAGTCTCTGGGAATGTAAAGACCTGGACACTCAATCCAACTGGAGTAGTAAGTGCCCTTAAAGCACGGAATACTTGATAGGCCATCGATGCTCAATGAGTAGCTCTTCTTGGGTATGATAGCCGCGTGTCCCAACTCTTTGAAGGCGCACGTTGCCTCATTATCGGTGGGAGGTTTACGGCATTGAAAGCCGGTCACATTTAGAATTGGAACCACCTTCACATAGAGTTCTCCCAGGAAATCCTCTCCAGACATACAGTGAATTCTAACGAACTGCCTGGGAATGTCGACCTCTTCTCGGTGCTTTATGGTGTACTCATCGATGGGTGTACTTTCCAATCGTTGCTCCAAATTGCTCGGCTTGAAGTACATATCCTCCAGCTGAACACTGGAGGTATTGCACCTGCAGAACACCTCGAAGGACTCGCCAACAAATACCGCCTGCGGTTCGCTCCACATGTCACCATTGCACCACTGTACTGTCTCTCCATGACATCGGACGATCAAGTGAAACGCAAGGAGGAGCAGAACCGCCGGCTTCGCTCTCCAACTCATGACTGACGAGCTGCTGGAGTCATTAACGAATGAGAGCTCCCTTTGGAACACAGCACTTGCAGTGCTTTGGGATGCTGATAAGGACCTGCTTATCAGCTGAACAGCAATTTACGACTTGAAAACCAAAAGGTTTTAAATAATTTTTCAACCAGAAGGAATGCTTGCTCTGTGGGCAAACTCAATTTGTCGACTATTTTGAGCTTTTAATTTGAAATAATTCTAAGCAGAGCTTATCTACGGCAATCAACACTTCACGAGATTTAAAATACCTTCTATCTCTTGGCAAATTAAAAATTAAATAACCTTTCCCCTTCTTTGCAGATAGCTTATCGAAGTATGTAAATGGAAGCTATCATTCATTAGCGTTTAGGGGAGTTGTAAGCATCCAGCCTTATAAATAATAAACGCTATTTTTTAATGAAAAATTTGAAGTATTTAAAAGAGATTTTTCATATAATGTAATATCAATTTTAAATTTTCAAATATACAATTAAGAAAAATTAAGTGAGGTCTTCATATTTCTATGTACACTTCCAGCCAATTTCAATTTCTAAATATTGTATTAACCACATGGGACCTATTAAGTTCATACTCGTTTTAATCGGTTTGTGTTAATGATTATTATAATTTATAATGTTTTCTTGAAACTATTAATTGTTCCACATGTTTGCCTTGCAAGGTTCTTCCTCCTGTCCGCCACAGAGGACCAGCAGAGCCTGCAGGATGACGAGAGTTTACAACCGAACAGGCAAAGCCAGCTTCCAACTCATGACTGCGAATAGTGCATCCATTTGCATCCAATTTCTAGATAGTGATTCCGAGTATCACCCTTATCGGTTCACCTACAGGACCTCTGTTTCGATTAAACGCATGCATATAGCAATCAATCACAGGTATTAATTAATTATTGTTGGGCCTGATACATTTTTCTAAGAAAAATCAATTATCAAGTTACTTCTTAGATATTTAATATTGTTTTTGTGAATAGTTACATCCATTCGCATATTCAAAATTTCAATTCTCTGGCGCCAATGCAAATCCACCGGGTGGCAGCCTTGCCGGAACAGCTGCGAACAGTGGCAGCCTTGGCTATTTATCGACAGCACTTTCCTTATCGGTAGCTGTCGCTATCGAAAGGCGACAGACATCGTACTAACATTAGCGATGGCAATGTATGTTGACCGATATAAGGCCTTCGAAATTTAAAATTATAAATAAATAAGAACAATCCACGTTCAGTAATTCACAAATAGGAATAATATTAGCTCTGTACAAAATATACTCCTAGTTAAAGTTTTCGTGCCCATGGATAATAATAAATACATTTTCGTGGCCCAATCTTAATTAAAGTAAATATTTGCAATAAGATCAATAATTATTATCAAAGTTTTAAATCACAATCCAGCATCTTTTCAAATAAACGAAAATCTTGCAATAAGAACGAAAGAATATCGATATATCGATATCATCGCCCATCGGGTTGCCCACCGCCAACGAGAGGGAATGCTGTTAAGTTACGCTCACCATATGTTAACTTACGCTCACCATATGTTAACTTACGCTGTCCGCTCTGGTCTGTTAATGTTTCTACACGAGTTTTCTACTTCCTACATGAGAATTCGACCCCAAAAGTGAGAATTCGACCCCATGTATCTGTAAACGCGTAGAACCACTCTGTAAGCGCGTCAAATGTAAACTGTAAGGCCAGCACGTGTAGGATGTAAAATGTTAATTAGCAGAACATTTTCGGTCGGTCAACGCGCAGCTCCAAGGAAAAATTTCGTGAAAAGCGGGAAAACGGCCGGAAAAATCGACGTCTCGGTGATATTCGCGGTGACTCCGTCGGCCAAAGCGCAGCAACGGTAAATGTAATAGAAAACGACGACGGCAACAACACGAACGGGCGACAAAGCGACACGCCTCGCGTTTTAGTGTTGTTTTCGTTGGCCCTGCGCTGCCACTGTTGTTGTTGTTGTCGCGCGTGTGTTTTTTCGGCTGCAAATGAAACGAATTTTAATAAGTGAAACAAAAAGTGCGCTGTGCAAATGCCAATAAATAATAATTAAAGTGCAGAGCCCCGCAAAACAAAGAGGAGAGGCGGAGGCCAGCGAGCCAGCGAGCGAGCGAGCGAGAGAGGGAGAGACAGACAGAAAATCGAGACGTTCTCTTGCCCTCTCGCTTCCACCCCGCGCTTTCTCCACACGTCTCCCCGTCCCCTCCCCACCCAGTCGCGTTTATCATTATTGTTGTTGTTGTTGTTTTTGTTCTTGCGCTTTGCCTTTTGTTTTCATCTTTATTTTGTATTTTTTATTAATTCTGCGTCACAATTCGCGATTCTAATTTCTTGCGTGTGTTTGTGTGTGTTTTCTGCAGATCTTCGTCATTCGATTCACAAGCATAAATAAGTATATGCACATATATGTATAGCCAAAGTCCAGTTAACCTTACGTAAGTGTGTGTGCGTGGTCTCCTGAAGCAACGCAAAAATGCAGCTCGATCCCCAAAAGTCCCCCAAATCCGCCTGCAACGAGTGCTAAAAGAAATAAGCGAGAGAGAGAAATAAATTCAAAGTCCCCCACAAAACAACCTAAAGCGCGGCCACAAAAATAGTGCAAATCGAACAAAAACAGAGAGCGGATTAGAAGCAAAGATCCCGCAGAACTCGATCGGAAACGGAAGCGGAAGCGGACCAAGCTGGCTAAGATGGCCGCCGCCCACAGCCACCATAATGCCAACCTGCTCAGCTCGGACATCTCGCGGCGCAATCCGCAGGACGAGTACGAGCTCATCCAGAAGATTGGCTCCGGCACCTACGGTGACGTTTACAAGGTGAGTGGCATAACTATGCATAAGGCAGGGGGTCTTAAGGAAGCCACTGAATGCCCAAAAGGCAGTGTAAAAAAGGGAGGCAACGCCAAAAATCCAACAACGCAGCGTGTGCCTCTGATTTAGAATGTTTCCTCGAATGCTCCTTGGCTTTTTTTCTGCTGCCTTACTTCTCCCATAAAACCCTCACTCCCTATGCAAGTTTTGCATTCTTTAAGATGCTGCCAATGCACTGTAAAAAATAGCTGTATTTATAATAACGAAACAATATGCGAAATATTGAAATCACATAAAGATCTAGCCATATACAATTTATTTGTGAGATACTAAATAATTCAGAAATAATAGTAAAAAAGTACGTATTTAACAGGAAATCCTATCAAATCATTTTCAAGCTTTTCAACAATATTTGTTTAAAATTAAAGAAGGATACATTTTTAATATAATCTAAGGGGGTTACATAGGATATACAACGATTTTATTCCAAAAACAACAAGGAAATCGAATTAAAGACTTTTGAAGTCGTCACATAAAAATCATCTTTAGCTCAGATATATTTCAATAAATAGAGCATCTGCTTAATATAACAATTATTAATAAAATTCCATTAAATGTATATAAATAAATCAGTAATTATAGCTTCAATAAATTAAAAGTAATGTAACTTTATGTTTTCCAATACAACAGTTATCAAATAATTAAGAAGGTATGAATTCTGTCTTATATACCTTGATTCCACATCAAAAATCAAGTAAAACAAGAAAAATACTATTAAAATCTTAAATATATTTCCAGAAAAGAGAATTTGCTTAGTAATACAATTATTAATAAAATTCCATTAAATGTAAATAAATAAATCAGTAATAATAGCTTCAATAAATTAAAACGGATGTAACTTTATGTTTTCCAATACAACAGTTATCAAATAATTAAGAAGGTAGGAATTCTGTCTTATATACCTTGATTCCACATCAAAAATCAAGTAAAACAAGAAAAATACTATTAAAATCTTAAGAAAAACACCCTCTGAAGCTCAAATGAGATACAATATATGGCATATCATTTCCTCAGTGCAAACAAACGCATGTGCACCCTTCGACCTGCCCAACCCCAAGCCACTCATTTGTACATCTGCTTGCCACTTCCACTTCCCTGCCTCTGCCTCTGCCCCTGCTGCTGCTGCTGCTGCAGTTCACAACCCCAACCACTCCGTACAAAAATATGCGCAATTTTAGTTTTGCTCCTCGACTGCTTTTGCGTTCCTGTTTTTTTTTACGAGTACAACACAATCCCAACTTGCCATGTTTACTTTGGCTGCTGCCCCGTCGTCGATGGGAGGAAATATGTATGACAAATGCTTCGAAATGCCGGCGGAGTTGCCCTTGGGCTGGGTGGGCGTGGCATAATGCAATTGTGGTTGCCAAGGCAGTGGGGACTTATACATGGGAAGGAAATATCGGGGGTAAAGATATACCGAGTCCGGCGACGAGCATTTGTGGTATTTCTCATCTGCAAGCCAAAAGGGGTTAGGAGCATATGGAGGAATGTGAGCCTTTGGTTTCGGGGGCTTTCCCCAATTCGATTTATGGCACTATGGAAATCTATATATTATAAGCTTTGTGCCAGCTTTTCGTCTGATTAATTTTCAATGAAATTTGGGGATTTGATTAAAATTCTCAGACATAATGCTGGAAATTCCACAAAAATGCATTTTGTGAATGGTTTTTGTTTCATCGAGTTTTATGGGGCATAAAAGCGCATATAAATCAAGGTTTTTGAACTGATTTTGGTTTGAGAATTTAATATATTTTAGTAGTAATATTTTGCAATAATTATAAGAATTTTATGAAATTTGAAATCTCATAACTAAGCCAAAAAAACATTAATTTCAATTCGGAAAACTTTCCCATGGTAGTTTTTACTAGGTTTATAAATCTGCATACTTAATTCACAATTTTAAACAATTAAAATTTTTGACAATTTTTTGTTGCAAATTTTAACGATGTAACCCCTTATAAAATTTTGAAAAAATTAAAAAAATGTATTTCTTCCTGAGATGGCTAGTTTGATTCGGCTGT